TGAAAGGACAAGTCACAGGGCACTGGGTGTCCAGCTCGACCCCAGCACGATTCTAGCCGCGGCCACGGCCGCTGCCCGACCCTGGGTGCCCGCTGCCTCACAGGACAGCTGGGCTCCCTCCTGGAGGCTCTGATCGCACACGCCGAGGCCTGGAGGGGCTCCCCGACGCCCACCTGGGTAACCGGGCTGCGGGCTCCCTCTTCCTTGCTCCCTTGTAGTATCTCAGAGACGCGCCCTGTGCAGTTCTGTCGGGGGGGGCCGCATCCAATCCCCCCGCAAGGAGGACAGGAGCGGGGAAGGACCTGGGGACACTCCCAGGCGGGAAGTCCTTCTAGAGTCTTACCTTCGTCCTTCCTGTTACACCACTGGCCCCGTTCCCTCTGGCCCTGCCACCCTGATTTCCAGTCATTTCTTCCCCGGCTACCAGGGCCCCAGCAGGGGAGAGGAGTCTGAATGAGCGGGCGCGTCTGAGGCCCGCGGCCGGGTGCTGGTGGCAGCGAGGAGACGGTGGCCATGGGGGAGGTGACAGAGCTCCTCTCAGAGTCCACTTCTGCTTTTGGCACTTACCTTGCCCTGGCCACCCCACCCCGGCCGGAAACGCTCACCCACCACTCCGACCCAGACCTGAAAGGGAGCCAGGCTTGGCCTCTGAAACCCTGAGCCTGGGGCCAGCCCAGAACACCCACTTCCTTCTTAACAATACCAGTAAGTCTTGAAATGAACCAAGCTGCTCCCAGGTAGGCTGGAATCAGAGAGAGCAAGGAGGCCGCCCAGGGTCACACGGCGAGTTACAGGCAGCTGGGCCGCGCCCTGGCCCTGCGGCGTCTGTCTCGCAGTCGCAGTCTTCCCAAAGCTAAGGGAGGCAGCCCGGAAGGGTTAACTCCTCCTCCTGTTAGCAGCGGGGAAGCTGAGGTCCAGCAGGGACCTGGCTCTGCTGAGTCGGTGCCAGGGTCAGGGCTGGAGAGGACACGGGCACAGCCTCAACACGCCACCAGGGCCCTGCGCCTTCCTAGCCGGGAAGCAGTTTGGCTCAGCCGGTCTGTTTTGTCCCTATCTGGCCTGGGCCTGTGGAAAGTCTCCTCTGAAGTCTGCCCTCACCCTCCCTCTTAGAGCATAGAACTTCTTCTCTAACAGGGCTATGGGGTTGGTACAGTGGCCTGGGGAGAAATGGCAGAACCTGAACCTGAACCTGGCCGTGGCCCCCTTCCCGGGGAAGCCAGCACAGCGAGGGCGGGAGAGGGCGTCGTAGCCTTCTTGGCGCGCCCCTGCCCCCCCGCCCCCGGCGTATTTGCACGGACCTCTGGATGCGCGCTCGCCCCTCCGTGGCAAGCTGTTTGCACAGGGTGAGGCCGGCGGGCGTCCAGCTCTGACCCCCTGCCCCCTTGCCCGTGCGCGGCTCCCAGGGAGGAGGGCCACCCTGAGAAGCTGACCGTAAAGGAGGATTGGCCCCACGTGACCCCTGAACCCAGCGAGGGGACATCTAGGAGGTGGCACCTGCCTGGCAGGGGAGAGGGGGCTGGGCAAGGACCCCCAGGGGCTTCCCCCACATCTGGAGCCCCACCTCCCCCCAACGGTGGCTCCAGGAGCAGCAGAAGGTGGGGCGCAGGGGGACACGGGTAGGAGGAGGAAGAATATGGGGAGATTCTAGTCCCTCCCACTTAGAGATGCGGTCGCCATGGTGACCGAGGACCAGTGAGGCGGGATGGGGTTGGGGATGGGGGGCGGGGGTGTGGCACGGACGAAGGCACTGGGAGGCAGGAACTGCCTGGCATTCCAGGGAGAGGGAAGCTCGTGCGTCCCCAGCTCCAGGTGAGGGGGCCGGAGGGCTGGGGGGGGGGAGCGGGCCATTGTCTGCTGCTGGCTGTGTCTTGAGGAGGGGGCAGGCAGAGGGGTCGGGCCATTGTGTGCGGCTCTCAGCTCAGCCTGCCAGCACAGTCAGGCTGGAGCGGGAGGCCTAGGAGGCCCTGGGTAGAGGGTAGGGGGGACTGGGCTTGGCGGGTGGTAAGGAGTCTGAGAGACAGTGTGGGCGGGAAGAGGTGTGCGGATGCAGGGGAAGTAGAAGCGAGGGACGTCCCCAGTGCCTCACACACAGTAGGCACCTAAATACAAGTTGATTTCATCATAGAAAGAGGGCAAAAAGGGGCAGCGCAGGTGGGGCTGAGGAAGGGGAGCCGGGAAGCTGGCGTACCCCCGGACTGTGCTGGGGCCACCCCTGCGGCTGGAAGGGAGAAGACGTAAGGGGGGCTGCACCTGCCATTGGTGAGGCCCTGAGTGGCTTTTCTCCCAGCTCCTGGAGCCCCTTCCAGTGAGGCATCCATGCTGCCAGGAGCACCAAAGAGACAGAGTTCCCCAGAGTTCTCTGGGTGAGCACAGGGTAGGGGTAGAGACGGGTGAGCATAGGGTACGGTGTGTGCGTGGGTGAATACAGGGTAAGTGTGCAGATGCGGAGAGCACAGGGTAGGGGTGCAGAGGAATGAGCATGGGGTAGGGGTGGAGGGGGTGAGCACAGGGTAGGGGTGGAGAGGGGTGAGCATGGGGTAGGGGTGGAGAGGAGTGACCATAAGGTAGGGGTGGAGGGGGTGAGCACGGGGTAGGGGTGCAGGGGGTGAGCACAGGGCAGGGTGGAGAATGCCGTCTGCCTCTATCTCCCCTCTATCTCACCTCCAGCCCCCACAGCTGGGTCTCTACCCCTGGGGCCAGAAAGCCTGGCAGGAAGGGGCTACTGTGTGATGTGGTCTCAGGGCCAGAGGGGAGGGGTCCCCAGAAGAGGTGGACCCTAAGGTGGGGGACAGGGTTGAACTTGGCATTGCTGTTATGGGGGGGGTCCCATGCTGGGGAGAGTGGAGCTGGGGAGCCCCCTCACTGGTACAATGAAACGTCACAGCCCCTAAGGCTGGTGCCTGGACACCTGGCGCTTTCCCGCTGCCGCTCCACCTGACCCCCGCTGACCGCCCTCGCCCAGACACTTCCCTGCGGGGCCTTGGCTTCCCCTGCGGACAATGAGGAAGGTCAGCAGAGGAGCCCTCCCGGCCTCAGGCTTGCTGGATGCCGTGGGCGGGACCTGCTTGGTGGTTTGCGGGCCTGGTGCGGATGTGAGGTCCCGCGTCCAGAAGTGACCCGGCGCCTTCCGGACGGCGGCAGGAGAGCATCAGATCACGCGTGGGCCCTTCCCAACACGGGCCTTTCCCGTGACTGCAGGGTTACGCGCGCCTGAAGCCACCCGGCCATGGGCTCCCCCCGCACCAGGGCGACAGGCTGTGTGACTTTGCGTCGGACTCCAGAGCCTCCCTGCAAGAGGGATGGCGGTGGGGCCGGGTCCCTCCGCCTTCTCCCGTCAGGCCCTCCCTCGGAGCTGATGGCCCTGCTGCGTGTGGGGCTGGTGCCTGTACCTGATGGCCAGACAGGTTTCTGTTCCCTCCTGAGCCGGGAGTCCCCTGAGATACAGTTTCTTAGCCCAGAAGAGCCAGAGCTGGCCATGCCCTCCCTTAGAGGTGTCTTCCTGTCCAAGTGGCTCAGAGCTGAGGAGGGACCCCACTGGGCGGCCCAGGGACTGGCTTTTGAATGAGGCAGATCTGGGTCTGACTTGGCTTTCCGCCGCATAAAATCCCTGAGCTTCACTTTCCCCATCTGTGAAATGGGACTACGGTGGTGCCCATCTGCTAAAATTGTCATAGACCAAAGCCTAATAATGCGAACTCCTCATATTGGCTGGAGGGGCCGGGGAAGACTTCCTGGGTCTCTGGGGAAGGGGGAGCAGAGCCAAGCCAGCATGGTGAACCCGGCCCTTCTAGAGGGCAGACCCAGGGCGCCGGGCTGGGTGCGTCTCCCCTCCGCATCTCCCCACCCCCCCAGTCAGGACTCCTCCCTGTGACCCAGATAAGCCAATCTGTCCAAGCAGAGCACCCAAGGGGCGGAGCAGGTCCCAGATCTGGGCTGGGGGTGGGGGAGGCACAGAAGGCGTTGTCCAGGTGGGACTGTCCCTTGATTCTGAGTCTGGAAGACTTTCTCTGAGTGGCGTGGCCCATGGCTTCTCCCAAGGACTTGGCCACCAGCCCGCATGAGTCTGGGAGCGTCTCAGGCTAGTCCAGGAGACAGTCTCCAGGGGGGCTCTGGCTGGGACCCGCCCCCAGAGAAGGCAGGAGAAACGAGTGGGCCCTAACGAGGGATTCTTCTAGGGAATGACCCGGGCTGTGCCATGGCCAGAGGGGTGGCGGTGACAGACAGGAAGGTCATCCTGCCTGAGAAATGGGGCTGTGAGAAGGAACTGGGTCACCAGTTGGAGTCAGGTTGGCCCTGGGGTGGCTGGGCTCTTACACGAGCAGCCAGCTGGCCTGGGGCTGAGCGTGCCGGAAGCTACTGGCTTTATAGGCTGTGCACCCTGGCCGGAGATGCCTCATTAACCCTGCATTAGGAGCACCCCACCCCCACCCCGGGCCTCCAGGGAGAGGTGAACAGACACTGGGGGGTTGGGTGTGGGCTCAGATGGGAAATTTTCTGGGCTCCCCTGGCCTGATCCTGTCCCTTGGGGGGACAGACACCAGGCTGTGGCAGGAAGCTGGCCCTGGGGGGGTGCGCCTGACGCAGCCCTTTCATGTCCTGCAAGACTGTGGCTCCGCTGCGGCGGAGGCTCGAAGGGGAGGGCGCTGCAGGCACTTGCGAGCACCCAGCTGTGGACGGACCCCACTTTGTGGGTGAGCAAAAAGGGGAACAGAGAAGACGGTGTCACATCCCCGTCGGAGACATCTTGAGCAAGAGCAGAGGCCACTCCCGGGCTGGTTAGACTGGATGTGGCATAGACCGAGGCCAGAGGGGTGGCTGACACGACCCAGAAACTTTCTGGCCTTTTCAACTTTCTGGATAGACAGGGCAGGGCGGCGGGGGACAGGGGGCGGGGGGGGGCGGGGAGGCAGAGGCGTGTCTCCTTCCAGTGCCCTCCCAGCGCCCCCCCCACTTCCGCCCAAGCCAGGGATCTGTCACGACTCGACTCCAGAGGTGGAAATTCTGGTTTCCCGGAGCTCCCAGTGCTGGCTCTGGCGCTATGGGTACCTGGCGCGCCACGCTCCCGGCCCAGCCGGGCTGAGCCTTGCGTCCCCTGTCCCCTGCCTCTGGGGCCTAGGACCCTGTCCTTCTTTCCCTTGGATGCACCCCCACCCAAGAGTCTGGACACCCAGGGTTCTGCACTGTGGCTGGCTCGAGGGTATGTGCGATGAGGTGGGCGGCTGGGGGGCGACGGTCCTGGGGACATTGATGCAGCGACCCAGGGAGTCAGAGTGCGGGGGTGGGGGCAGCCGAAGCCTGCCTGGAGCCTGCCCGGGCCCCTCATCGTCTCCCAACAAGAGAGGGCCAGGTGGGCAAGAGTGTCAAAGGTCAGCGCCCAGCTGGGGAAGGGGAGAGGTCAGAGTGGGCAGAGTCAGGCCAGCCTGGGTCATCTGAGGGCAGGGGGCAGGGTGCGGCCCCAGGGCAGCAACAGATCTGAAAGTCCCGGCAGAGATGGGGCCGATAACCTATAGTCTGAGTGCAGGAATCTGCTCCCCAGAAAGTCCCTTGCTGGCGACGGCGGAGGGAAAGCAAAGGGAAGACAGCGAGAAGGACTTCCTGAGGGGAAGGTGAGAAAAGGCGGAGCAGGGCCGCTGGTGGCCAAAGATCAGAGGGGCAGGCAGGAAGCTGGCCCCCGTCCGCAGGGGAGCTCGAGGCGGCAGCCGGTGCCCGCGGACGATGGAAGTGAGACTCGCAGGGCACTCTGCAGAGGAAGCTGTCCCCTCCCTGGCACCCCCCCCCCGCCCCATCCACACTTCTGCTGCCTGGGGCTCTCCTATTGGCTCCCTGGGGGGATGTGGTGAGGACTGCTCACCCAGAAAGTGTCTGGGTGCCTGTTTCCGCAGAGCCATCTGGTGACAGCCTCTGGCGGAGCATGGCCCTCCTCGCCCCGGGCCTAGACCCCCGCAGCCCCCGGGGCCTCCCCTTCTTCTGGCTGCCCCTGCTGCCACTGCTGCTGACGGCGGGGGGCAGGGGGCAGGGGCCCCTGCCCAGGGTCATATACCAGGCAGGTAAGTGTCCGACGGCCAGGGATGGCCAGGTAACGCAGGGCAGGAGGCCGAGCTGGAGGGGAGGGCAGAGGAAGGGGTGAATGAGGAAACTATGTGCGGGTGGCGGAAGGCTTAGGGGGAAGATGGAGGGAAGGGAGGCAGGGGCTGGGCGGGTCTCCGAGGCTGCTGATTTTTCTCTCCTTCTTTGCGTGTCGCTGTCCTCAGGCTGGGGACTTACAATCCCTAACTGCTTTCACACCCCCACCTGCCCCCAAAGCGACAGCCACACTAGATCATCTGTGGAGCCAGGCCACAGAGGCCGCGCAGCGGGAGCTGGGCCGTGCGTGTCCACACGCTGGCGCAAGGGAGCTCCCCGCTGGGGTACCGCCCCTGACCCTCTGCCGCTGGCCCTCTCGCCTCCTGGGGGAAGGTTCAGGAAAGGACGTCAGGAGTTGTAGGCGCGGGGCCTCCCCGGCACAGCTGTGCTTAGCATCTGTCTGGGGCAACCTGGTAAAGGACACGCGTGCTGGCCGCTGACGGGGAGCCCTCTGTGCCGGTGCCGGGATCGGCAGCATGAACAATGTTGAACCTGAGCCCCCCCCCCCCGCCCCGCCAGGGTGCTGCGTGGGAGGCAGAGGGGCAGCCGGGCAGGCTCGCTGCAGGCTGGGCGTCCAGGAGCCCAGGGGTTCGCTGGCTCTGGGGGAGGCCACCCCTTGCAGCCCCTTGCCAACCTCTCCGTCAGGCCCCCAGGTTCTCACAGCTTCCAAAGGCAGCACTTAGCTAGACAGTCCGCTAGGGCCTCTGTGCAAGCACGGCCCTGGGGGTCGGGAACCTGTCCCCTTGCCGATGTGTCAGCAAGCACGCCAGCACCACCGCCGCCCCAAGGTGACGGCGAGGGCCTCCCCCGCCTCCGTGGCCGGCTCGCCTCCCCCCACAGGTGCCAGCCAGGCGTGCCCACAGGGGCTTTTGAAGATGAACATTCTCTCTCGTTCGTGATGGCAGTGATCGTCGTGGTAGAATTGTCCTGCTAGAGAAGGAGGGAAAGGGGTTGGTGACTGTGACCCTACAGCCCACAGCCACCCGGGCACGGCGCTGTCTGTGTCTGCCTCCTGCTCCCCGTGCTCCCCCTCCTGCCCCACAGCCCTCCAGGCCTGGAAGGGTCTCCACTGTGCCTCACGTTACTTCCCATCCCTTTGCGTGTCTCTTGGGTTCAGGCCACCCTTTCCCGGCCCCAGGCTGCCATTACCCTGTCTCTGGCTGCCTCCTCTCCCCACTGAGGGACCAGCCCAAAGCTCCTACCCTGCTAGCAGGGTGGGCGAAGGGGGAGCTGCTGCCAAGGCCCAGGGCGGGGGGCACACTCTGCCAACACTTCCCCTCCCCACTTGGGTCACTCACCCCTTCTCATCATCTCCCAACAGGGGACGGACGCAGGGTCCTCAGCCTCTTCCACCAGAAGGGCCTCCAGGATTTCGACACTCTGCTCTTGAGCGATGACGGAGGCACTCTCTATGTGGGGGCTCGAGAGGCCATTCTGGCCTTGAACATCCAGGACCCAGGGATTCCAAGGCTGAAGAACATGGTGAGGAGGCCAGGGAGGAAGGGCATGGGCTGCGGGTGAGGAGGGGGCCAGCAGTCCCCCTGTGGCTGGTCCACCTGCGCACGACCGACTGCCCACCCGCTGTTCACTCTAACCGGCAGTAATCAGCAATTCTTTTTTTTTGTTTTTTAAAATTTTTTAAATGTTTTGTTTATTTCTGAGAGAGAGAAAGAGCGTAAGCAAGGGAGGGTCAGAGAGAGAGGGAGACACAGAATCTGAAACAGGCTCCAGGCTCTGAGCTGTCAGCACAGAGCCTGACGTGGGGCTTGAACCCACGAACCATGAGATCATGACCTGAGCTGAAGTCGGACGCTCAACCTACTGAGCCCCCCCAGGCGCCCCAGTAATCAGCAATTCTTGTCATACATTTCCGGTCTGCAGAGCAGAAGAGAGATAGCACAGTGGTCTCCCTACTTGCTGGTATCATGCACACGGCCTGCATGGTAGTAACTGCTAGAATGGCTGATAAGGAAATCATTGACATACAACAGAAACACTGACTCAAACGATATCAATAATATGATATCCACCCACCAGTAGAAATCACCGAAGCTTCTGTATTATAGTCACCCTCCTGACGGGAATAGTGTGAGGAACAAAGGGGGAAGGAAGGAGGGAGGGAGGGAGGAAGCGAGCAATCTCTGAGGTTCTCCTTGGTTTTGCCTCAGTGTGTGGTCTGTGGGCTACCTGTGCGTGCATATCGGGGTTGCTGTTTGCAAATGCAGCTTCTCTGAAGTGTCAGCCAGGAACAGACATTTAAACAATTTCTCCAGGAAATGCGTGGTTTGACAGCAGGCACTGCTTTAGGGTTCTTTGCGTATGTCCCTGGTCGTGCCCTTTAGTAGCTTGTGCAATTGACTAAGATCCCCCCACCAGCGAGTGGCCGGTCCTGGATTCAAACTCAGATCTGTTTCCACAGGCCATGTTCTGCCACAGAGCTGTGTCCCCGCGAGCACGGTATCGTCAGAACAACAGCCACAGTCACAGACTGATGTTCTTCTTCTTTTTTTTTTTTTTAATTTATTTCTGAGAGAGAGATAGTGTGAGCAGGGGAGGGTCAGAGAGAGAGACAGACACAGAATCCGAAACTGGCTCCAGGCTCTGAGGTGGCTGTCCACACAGAGCCCGACGCGGGGCTCAAACCCACAAACCGTGAGATCATGACCTGAGCCGAAGTCGGACGCTTAACCAACTTAGCCACCCAGGCGCCCCAACAGACTGATGTTCTTATAGCTCATTGGCATGTCACTAGCCGCCGTGGCTGCTGGTGGCTTCACAGCCGGCCCGAGCAGAGGACAGCAGGTCAGAGCTAGGGCTGAAGAGCTCACTTCTCTTCATCTCACCCCCCACTCCCCACCGCAGATACCCTGGCCGGCCAGTGAGCGAAAAAAGAGCGAATGCGCCTTTAAGAGGAAGAGCAACGAGGTAAGTGGGAGTAGGGGTAGAGGGGCTTTGTGTGGAGCCCCCAGACCATCACTGGGCCACCTCAGCCTGGACAGATAGCGGAGGATGACCTGTTTCCATGATGATGCCTGAAAGTGAGGGGCAGCCTGAATTCTCTCTCCCCAGACTCAGTGCTTCAACTTTATCCGTGTCCTGGTCTCTCTCAATGCCACCCACCTGTACGCGTGCGGCACCTTCGCCTTCAGCCCTGCTTGTACCTTCATTGTGAGTTACTGGGCCCCCGGCTCTAACCCGAGCCCTTCTCATGGGATGCTACTCCCTGCTCCCGGCCGCTTGTCTGGAGCTCTGGAAAACCCTCGTGAGCTTCCTGGCCCCAAGTTCCCTCCAAGTCCCTCTCCTTCCCTCAGGCCCTTCACTTCTCAGACGTGAGACTCTGGCGTTCTGGCCCCCAGCCTCTCCCCCCCTTTAGGAACTCCAAGATTCCTACCTGATGCCCATCTCCGAGGACAAGGTCGTGGAGGGGAAAGGCCAAAGCCCCTTCGACCCCGCCCATAAGCACACGGCGGTCTTAGCAGGTGAGGGTCAGGTTCCCGGCATCTGCCTTCCTGGGAACTATGAAATCCGACCATTTTCTGAAAGGCGGGGAACAGAGGGAGGGGAAGCCAGGAGCCTTAGGGCACCGGATCACAGGGAGCCTCGGACCCCCCAGCCACCAGCTCCTGCTGAGGGTGCCCCAAAGGAGGCGGAGGGAGATAGATACAGCGAGTTTCACATCGTCAAGAGGGTCCAGGAAGGGCCTTGGGCAGAGGAGAGGTCTGAGGTTCAGCCATTTGTTGTGGAGGCTGGAGTCTGGGACCTCGCAGACACACACCATGACAGAGTCCCCGCCCTGGTTTCTGGGAAGAGGTGGCCTTTGGCTTTTGAGTTGGACCTTGAAAGCTATGTTGATGGGCAGTAAAGATGTTCCAGGAAGAGAAGGGCGGGGCCGAGGAGGTGGAGGTGAGAAACAGCCACCTTCGGGGAACCAGGAGCGGTTCCCCCGGGCAGGCGGCTCTGCTGGGGGCCGCCGGAGGAAGGCTGGACAAGGCTAGCGCACAGACGGACCCAGGCGTAGCTACCCCCTGAGGCAATATTCCCTAAGAAGGGTGCGCGGTGGGGTCTGTGAGCTGGGCTGTGGGCTCCCTGGGAAGGTGCAGAACACAGAAGGGGGCCAGCGACGGACTGAATGCTGGGCCCAGGCGGAGGCAGGTCTGAAGGGGGCAGGGAGGAGCCCCCCCCCAACGAGGAGGCCTCTCGCCCTCTCCCGGCCCTAGATGGGATGCTCTATTCTGGCACCATGAACAACTTCCTGGGCAGCGAGCCCATCTTGATCCGCACGCTGGGACCCCAGCCCGTCCTCAAGACCGACAATTTTCTCCGCTGGCTGCAGCGTAAGGACCCGAGCCCCCAGCACAGGTCTGGCCCTTCCCGGGCGAGCAGGGGAGACCGGAGACCCAGCCCGAGAACCGCCGTGACTCCACCGCGCCCTCCTTGCAGGGCGCCTCCTCCGTGCGAGCACTGTAGGCGGGGGCAGCTCCCGGCCCGTGACGCGCCAGGAAACCGAAGAGGGGCCGGGTGCCCCCCGGGGCCACCCCCGGCCGCGGGACATCCCGTCTGCGGACCGGCCCCGGGGCGTGGGGGCGTGGGGAGTCCCAGCACTGAGCCTCTCTGCCCCGTCCCGCAGCGGACGCCTCCTTCGTGGCAGCCATCCCCTCGACCCAGTTCGTCTACTTCTTCTTCGAGGAGACAGCCAGCGAGTTCGAGTTCTTCGAGAAGCTCCACACCTCCCGCGTGGCCAGAGTCTGCAAGGTCTGCGGCCCCGGCGGAAGCTGGCCGCCGCGCAGCCAATGGGGAGGTGGCAGAGGCGTGGCCGAGCGCCCAGGGCCCAATGGGAGCGGGGCGGGAGCGCGGGGGCGGGGCGTCGGGCCGTGCGGAGGGGGCGGGGCGCCGCTGACTCCGCCCACGCGGCCCTAGAACGACGTGGGCGGAGACAAGCTGCTGCAGAAGAAGTGGACCACGTTCCTGAAGGCGCAGCTGCTGTGCGCGCAGCCGGGGCAGCTGCCCTTCAATGTCATCCGCCACGCCGTGCTGCTGCCCGCCACGGCCTCCGCAGACGCCCGCGTCTACGCCGCCTTCAGCTCCCAGTGGTGAGCAGCGCGGCGGGCGCGCGGGGCCGGCGGGTAGCAGCTGTCACCTGGGAAGGCATGTGATCGCCACCCCGTCCCAGGGATCTGGGCGTGTGATCGCCACGCCCTTCGTGGAGACGGGAAAATAAAACTCAGATTCTTACTAGTTTATAGCCTGCCTGGTTCCAAAGAGGATAGGAGACAGCTTACCAAAGGCAGACCTCGAGATAAGATAAGATAAAACGATAAGGAAACGGGTAAAAGGAGAGTAAGATAAGGCAGGGATTGGGGTAGCACATTACAAATATTTGTCATTTATGCAGTGTCAGAATGCTGATCACAAATTTAGCTCTGAGCTTCCTAATGGCCAAAGCAAAAACCGAAACACTATCATTGCCACTAGGATTAAAATAATTATTGCTCGGAGGCTGAGAGAAGTTAGTTGATTTGCTGTGATCTGGTCCCACCGTGTTTAGGTACTTGCTGACAGTGTGTCAGGTACCAAAAATATCTGCTGCATCCAGAACTGAGAACAAGATTCTGCCACCATCAGGTTAAAGAGAACAAGAGAAAGCTGCCCTCCATGGACCAGGGCTGAAGGAATGAAAATATTCTCATAGTCGGGCTCTGGGTGGTTCTCTGCAGATCAGGAATCAGTACGACCAAAAGGAGCCGGGCTTCATCTGGCGGCTGCCAGGGGCTTGTTACACTGCTCTTCCCGTGGCTCCAGCCCAGCCTGGGCAGCCAGGCCGCAGCCACCCACGACCTAAGCCCCGGGGAACTCTCCCTGAGGATAATCGCACTTAAGATCCCAAGACGGGCCACAAGGGGCTCCCCAGCCTTATCACCACAGCCGGGGGAAGAGTAGGCATCCGTAGGCCAGCCCCACCCTCCACACCCCTTCCCTCCTGGGCCTTCTCCCAAGGGTGAGCCAGGGCTACAGGGGGATGGGATAACGGTGTCCCCTCTGGCTGTCCCCAGGCAGGTCGGTGGGACCAGGAGCTCTGCTGTCTGTGCCTTCTCTCTCAAGGACTTCAAGCGTGTCTTTGAGGGGAAGTACAAGGAGCTGAACAAAGAGACTTCTCGCTGGACAACTTAAGGGGTTCCCGAGATCAGTCCCCGGCCAGGCAGCGTGAGTACCGCCCCCAACACTGAGCAGATACACACACATGTCCCACACGTCAAAGTACCTGTCGTGGCACGGTGAACGTCCAGCCCTGTCTGCTCAGACACACACCTGGCCCAGCGGCTGGCATTCCACAGGTGTCCGGCCCCATCCTACTCACAGAGAAGCACCCCCTCCGCCAAGGGCACACCAGATACCTGGGTGTATCACTGAGGGAACAAGGGAGCACGGGCTGTGCCAAGGGCTGCCTGGGTGTCTTCATCTGCATTTCGTTTTCAACTCTCGTTTTTTGATCATACTGCTATGTGGCCACCATTTAAAGAATTGTAGAGATCGACGCAGTCGGTTACAAAATCCACCTTATCCCCTGCCCTGTGCGAGGGACAACCACCTTCCACTCTTTTAGCTGGCACTTTTCGTGTTTATCTCCAAATCTCTAACATACTTTTATTTTTAAATGTTTATTTATTTATTTTGAGAGAGAGAAAGAGAGTGCGAGCAGGGGAGGGGCAGAGAGAGAGGGAAAGAGAGAATCCCAAGCGGGCTCAGTGCTGTCAGCGCAGAGCCCAACTCAAGGCTCCATCTCACGAACAGTGAGATCATGACCTGAGCTGAAATCAAGAGTCTGGTGCTTACCCGACTGAGCCCCCAGGCGCCTCCGTCTCTAACATACTTTTATTGCCGCCTCTTGATGCCTCAGTTTCCGGCAGGATTATTGTTTTATTTTTTAATTATTTTATTAATGTTTTTATTTATTTCTGAGTGACAGAAACAGTGTGAGCAGGGGAGGGGCAGAGAGAGAGGGAGACACAGAATCTGAAGCAGGCTCCAGGCTCTGAGCTGTCAGCACAGAGCCCGACGTGGGGCTCGAACCCACGAACCGTGAGATCATGACCTGAGCAAAAGTCGGACGCTTAACTGACTGAGCCACCCAGGCGCCCCTCAGGCAGGATTATTGAATTCCCGGTCTGGATGGTGAGGATTCAGCTGTGCTCTTCCACCCCTGCCCAGTTGTGTGTGGCCTGCAGCCACTTGCAAGAACAGCTTCTGTGCGTCTCTTTCCAAATTCTTGGGCACTGACATTACGCTAGTGGCCTAAGATCAGCATGGTGGGAGTAAAGGTCACGGCAGTCGGCTAACCCGATGAGTCAGGGGACAGGGGTCACCCTCCCCCACACCAGAACTGCCTACCAACACACCGCTGCACCCACCCCTCCACTCTAAACATAGTTTTATAATACTTTGGTTAGATCAATATTTATATTAGGACTCTTTGTTTTTTAATGTTTTATTTATTTCTGAGCGAGAGAGAGAGAGACAGTGTGAGCAGGGGAGGGGCACAGAGAGAGGGAGACAGAATCTGAAACAGGCTCCAGGCCCTGAGCTGTCAGCACAGAGCCCGTCGCGGGGCTCGAACCCACGAACCGTGAGATCATGACCTGAGCGAAAGTCGGACGCTTAACCGACTGAGCCCCCCAGGCGCCCCTATATTAGGACTCTTATGCACAACTGGGCTCTGTAGCAGGCCATGATTACTTTCCTTTTCACATAATTAAAATTTTCCCTCGGGTTAGTAATTACCTCTCTCACTTTTTTTTTTTTTTTTGCTTGCTTTGTTTCCTAAGCTCTTATCGTTAATTCAACCCCAAACTCTTCCTTGATTATCTGCATCTCTTCTGAAGACAGAGAGCCATTAGGTATTCAAACAGTTTCAGGTTCCTGGAAGGGGCGCCCGTCCGCTGCAGCTGGGACCCACTGCCATCCTGGACTTCCCCTCGTCATCATCCTGGGCTTTCCCTCTGCATCTCTCCGTGACAGTCTCGTGTTTCTTGCAACCTGTGGCTTCCTCTTTTTTCTTTTCCTTTTTTTTTTACTATCTTATTGCATGGAACGTGGCCTCCATAGATTCCCGGAAGGGGATAACATGGGAGGTAAAGTCTTTGAGACTGTGAATGTCTGAAAATGTCTTTATTTGACTTTCACCTTTGATGGTTTGATATGTGCATGTGATTCTAGACTAGGAATAAGCTTCCTGCAAAACTTGGGAGGCTTGCTCTGCTGTTACCCAGCGTGCTCTTCAGACACCCAAAGCTATTCTGAGTCTTTTAAGAAATTTTTTTTATCGTTTATTTATTTTTGAGAGGGAGAGAGACAGAGCACTAGCAGGGGAGGGGCAGAGGGAGAGGGAAACACAGACTCTGCAGTCAAATGCTCGCCCACTGAGCTATACCCCCTGGAAACGCAGAATCTGAAGCAGGCTCCGGGCTCCAGGCTGTCAGCACAGAGCCTGACGTGGGACGCGAACTCACAAACTGGGAGATCATGACCTGAGCCAAAGTCGGATGCTTAAGCAACTGAGCCCCCCGGGCGCCCCATAGCTATTCTGATTCTTAAGTCTCTGTCTGTGTGATTTGTTCTCACTGGAATCTTCTAGTGCCTTTTCTTTGCCTCCAGTCGTTCTGAAATTTCACAGTATCGCGCTTTGACAGGACTCTGATCATTTATTGTGCTGGACATTCAGGCTGCCCCTTCAGCCTGGAAATGTGTTCCTTAGTTTGAAGTTTCCTTGAACTATATTCTCCTATTTTCTTTTTAACGAACAAATAGTTTCTGAGGCCGCCTGCCACTGTCGTGAGCAGTAGGGGTTACAGCAGTGAGCGGAACAGACAGAAGTCCCTTCCTTCGTGGAGCGGACACGCTCCTGTTAGAAGGCTTTCTTGCTTCTTTCTGGTCCTCCTGGACTGGTCGTCTCTGTTTTTAATTTTTTTTTTAATTTCTGAGAGAGAGAGTGAGCAGGGGAGGGGCAGAGAGAGAGGGAGACACAGAATCTGAAGCAGCTCCAGGCTCCGAGCTGTCAGCACAGAGGCCAATGCGGGGCTCGAACCCAGGAACTGCGAGATCATGACCTGAGCCGACGTCGGACGCTTAACCGACTGAGCCCCAGGCGCCCTTCGTCTCTGTTTTTAAATCCTGTCCAGCTTTCCAAGACTTTGGTTTTGTCCTGCGTTCTGGGGGAGTGTCTCAATTTTATCTTCTTCTTCTTCTTTTTTAAATGTTTATTTATTTTAAGAGAAAGAGCGCACGCACAGGGGAAGGGCAGAGAGGGAGAGAGAGAATCCCAAGCAGGCTCGGCACTGTCAGCGCAAAGGCCCACGTGGGGCTCGATCCCACAAACTGTGAGATCGTGACCTGCACTGAAATCAAAAGTCAGATGCTCAACTGACTGAGTCACCCCGGTGCCCCGGATTAGTTGTTCTTTTAAGTCTCTTTTAATCTGTACGTTCCCTTTCCATCTTCTTATTTTCTCTCACCATTTACTTGTCATGTAGACATTTTCACTGTCTAGATCTCGGTGACCATGACTCTCTGTGGTGGCGTTTAAGGAATGCCTGTAAATTCACTAGAGGTTGGGCCTAGGGACTCAGTCACATCAGTTTGATTAGGGGCAAGACCCCTTCGCTGTGGTCATGTGTCTTCCCTCAGGACACATGTGGCATCTGGCTCCCTCTTTGAAGTACAGTCCTTTTTTGTAGCATCATGTTCTTGTTTCGTGGATACACTCTCTTTACTTAGCTCTCCGAAGACATAATACTGCTTTGCTGTGAAGATCTCTTTTCTCTGAATCATTTAGCTGTCTCTCTGTCTGTCTGTTTTGGTCTGGTAGCCCTGGGCCCTCTGCTGTATTTGAGGGCGGGGACCACACAGCTGTTCGTAAACTGCACCGGGGAGACTTGGCAGTGTGGGCTCCACTGCTGTCCCCTGGAGGTGGCCTGGCTGGGCGGTTTTCTCGGGGACCCTCAACATCAATATCTCAAGTCTTACCCTTGACCTCCAGTCAGCTTCCCGGAGTCTTCTTCTAGCCTTCTGCTTGGAGGGGGACAGCATGGCTGCTGACATTGGGGGAGGGGGCTGGGAGAGGAGTCTCAGCATGGACTGAGCCTCCCTGCCTTCATCCCTGCCTTAATGGTGTGCCTGCACCCTCTGGCATGGAGGAGGGAGGAGATCCTCTACTTTGCCCGCTCCAGAGAATGGGCCTCCAGACCTGGGCCAGGGCCTGCTAGGGTCCTGGACAGACTTCCAAATACTCCTCTGAGTCCGCGCCTCCCTTGCCCCACTTCTGAAGCAGCTGGGGCCACTCGCTCATGACCTTTAGGAATTCTGCCTTGTAAGTCAGAGAGTTTTGGCTGCCCCAGGGCTGGCTTAAGAAAATTCCTTTCTTTTTTCCCTGCTAAGTCTTTTACTATTTGTTCATTTGCTTTCCAGCCTCCAAACTGTGGCTGCCTCCACTCCCTGCCCGTTTTCCCAGTCCCTGGAGTTCTATGCCTTACACCCCCCCCCCACTTTTTCGGGGGAGGAAGTGAGAATAGGTGCGTGTGCTCATTCTGGCATCAGAATGAAACATAGATGCTCTTACCTCACCGACAGACAAGGAAACGGAAGCTCGCAGAGGTGGGGTAGCTTGTCTGAGGTCACATGTAGCAGGGCACAGGGTTGGGGCTGGCCCTGACATGGTGCTTGTGGGTGTGGAGGGGACGAAGGTTCTGGCTGAGATCAGGACACTCGGCGTTCCGGGGTTGGCCAGCCTCCAGAGAACAGCCGGTCCACCCTGTCTGCCGCCCCCCCACTTTATGGGTGAGAAAAAGGAGGCCCAGAATGGAGGAGGGGCCCTGCCAGACTCATGTGGCAAGTTCATGCCACACCGTGGTGACAAGCACTCCCTGCTACCCCAGCCCTTTCTGTGACATCCGTTATGCAGTCGCTGACTCCACAAACACTTATCGGGCACCAGCCGTGTGCCGGTCTGGGGCTATCGATGTGAGTGAGCTGTGGTCCCTGCAGCAAACAGCTGTCACCCCACTTCCTGCTGGCTGCCAGGCATCCTGGATGAAGGTGATGAGGAGGAGGAAGTAATAACAGCCAATACGCATCAAGCGCTTCCTTCATGTCACGCTCTGTTCTAGTTACTTTTCCCGTATTCGTGCGTTGCATGGTCTACGATACACGCCGCACTATGCACAGAGCTGGCGTTCAAGGCCAGGCAGCTCGAGAGTTTTACCACCTCCCTGGAGGGAGGGAGCCAAAGCAGGCTTGAAGCGTGGGAGGGAAGGAGGCAGAGGCACGGGAGCTGACCCCGCGAGCCTCCTCCCCCTTTAGTGCTCCGTGGGCCCCTCCTCTGATAAAGCCTTGACCTTCATGAAGGACCACTTCCTGATGGATGAGCAGGTGGTGGGGACGCCCGTGCTGGTGAAGTCTGGCGTGGAGTACACGCGACTCGCGGTGGAGACAGTCCAGGGCGTCGACGGGCACAGCCACCTGGTCCTGTACCTGGGCACCAGTGAGTAAGGGGCTCCGGGACCTCCCCTGGCGGCACGTGGCGGCTGCGTGTCAGGCTGAGGAGGGGAACCTTGGGGCTCACTCGCTCGTGCTTTCCCTCAACAAACCCTTTCTCAGTACGGACTCTGTGCCTGGGGCCCTGCCAGGCTCTGAAAACACAGGGGGGCTTACCCGTGCCTTCTGAGCTCGCCGGCTGGAGGGGGGACAGACACAGGGCTCTGCGGCCTTCACAGGAGCCGTTTCTCTCGTGGAGGAGCCATGGAGAGAGGTGGAGAGCGGCGGGGAGGGCAGCAGGGGCAGGGCCCCTCCGTAGGAGGTCTGCTGTGCGGGGAGGCGAGGCGGGCGTCAGGGGGTGCAGCCAGCGTGCTTTTTTTTAAAGGAGGAGAGGTCATCAAGATCCGGGGGGGGGGCAAGTGGTGAAGAAAGGAGCAGGCCAGGGGGCCACTGGCAGGTACAGTTGCAGAGGGAGCAGGAAGCGGGAGGCTGGCACAGGGCTGGGGGCCAGCACGCGCGCTGGGCTGGCGGGGGAGGGAACAGAAGAGTGTAGGACTGGGGGGCGACACGGAGGCTGTGTGCAGGCTTCTGTGCTCCCTGTGCATTTGGGGGATGCAGGGGCTGGGGGTGGAAAGAGGGGGGATTGGAGGAGAAAGGGTGTAGATACGAGAAGCCGTTGTGGGAAGGAGAGAGAGGAGAGAGTCAGCAGGGGGTGTGGAAGACTGCCAGCCACGTCTACAGAGGGCCGGCGGGGGTGACCTTGAGCTTCTGTGTAGGAAACTTGCGGGTTCCTTCATTCTTCCAGGACATGTTTCCAGCCACGGCGTCAGCTGTGCAAGCCGTGGGTGCCAGCAGAGAGCAGAACGCCCCCAAAGCTGTGTCCGTGTGGAAGGCACGGAGACAGACAATAAACACAGCACATGAGGCGACAGCTCAGCGTGTTAGGAGATTAGAAATGGATTCGGCACAGGGGCAGATCAGGAACGCCAGTAAAGGAGGTGGCAGTTTTTAGAAGGGTGGTCAGGGTGGATTTCATTGAAGCGTCTGAGCAGGGACGCTTGGTGGAGCTGAGGGTGGCTGGGGACACGGTTTTCTCCAGGAAGCACTCAGCTGTCTTGGGTCCCAGGCCCAAGGAGAAAGAGGGCTGGGTTCAGGCCACGGAGGGCAGAGGGGCCGGATGCCATTTACACCGGGGTTTACGTGATCTCCACGGCACAGAAGGGAACAGCCCGACGGATCGGGGTCTGCGCGCTTTACGTTCAGAAGGGACGTCTGTCCTGACATCGAGGGGCCCTCTGGGGTCAGAGGCGGTGCGAGGGGGGCCGTGGCTGCGGTGACAGTCCCTGCTGTCTCTCCCCGCAGCCACGGGGTCCCTGCACAAGGCCGTGAGGAGTGGGGACTACGCTGCGCATCTGGCGGAGCAGATCCAGGTGTTCCCGGAGCCGGAGCCTGTCCGCAACCTGCTGCTGGCCCCCGAGCAGGTGACAGGGGCCCCCAGTGGGGGGAGGCTTGGGGGCTGGGTCCTCACCGGGCGTGGCGAACCCGTCCCTCTCCCTCTCTTCTCCAGGGCGCAGTGTTTGCAGGCTCCTCAAGGGGCATCTGGCGGGTCCCCCGAGCCAACTGTAGCGTCTACGAGAGCTGCGTGGACTGTGTCCTCGCCCGGGACCCGCACTGCGCCTGGGATCCGGAGTCCCGGGCCTGCCGCCTCCTGCCCACCCCCATCCCGTGAGTGCCGGTCCCGGACGGCGGAGAAGCTGGCCCGCCGGGACCTTCCGACCCGGCCTGGGGGGCCCTTCCTCTCTCCAGGGGCTACTGACTCGTCCCCTCCGAGACTGTCCCTCCTGGGGCGGAGCGGAGCAGCTGCTGCCAGCACGTCTTGCCTGCCCCCCTTCTCCCCAGGGCGCCTCCCCGCTTCCTCCCCGCTCTTCCCACCTCTGCCTGTTCCAGAAGATGAGTTTGCCTTCCCTCCCTTGTCAGGAAGTCCTGGAGGCAGGACCTGGAGCACGGGAACCCGCAGGTCGCCTGTGCCACTGGCCCCGTGGGCAGGAGCCGCCAGCCTCAGAGCCGCCCCGAGATCAGTGAGTGGGAAGCCGGGGGGCGCGGGGAAGCCTCGGGGGCTTCCGGGCAGGGGTGGGCCTTCCTGCCTCAGTCTCTTCCCCCAGCACCTGCCCAGCTGGAGGCCTGAACCTCCAGACTAGGGCCGGGTTTGGGTCCTGGCGCAGGGAGGAAGGATCGGAGCGCCAAGCTGGGATTCAGCATTGAGGCTACAGTCTGGTCTCGGTGCCGGAGTTGCAGTCAGACGGACTGAGGTCAGGGGAGGGGTCGGAGCCGAGTCTGGGAGCTGAAACGGGAGCTGGAAAGGGGCGTCGGCGCCGCTCTCCCGCCCTCCTCTCCCCTCCCTGAACCGCTGGCTCTTCCTTCGCCTCCAGTTAAGGAAGTCCTGGCTGCGCCCAACTCCATCGTGGAGCTCCCCTGCCCCCACCTCTCGGCGCTGGCGTCTTACGGCTGGACTCGCGGCAAAGCCAAAGCGGCCGTCGCGGAGGCGTCCACGGCCGTGTACGCCGGCGCCCTGCTGCTGCTGCTGCGGGACGGGGCGGGCGGCCTGTACCAGTGCTGGGCCACGGAGAACGGCTTCTCCCACCCCGTGGCCTCCTACTGGGTGCACAGCCAGGATCGGCCCCTGGCCCTGGACCCCGAACTGGCGGGCATCCCCCGGGAGCGTGTGGAGGCCCCGCTGACCAGGGTCGGTGGCGGGGCCGCCCCGGCCGCCCAGCGGTCCTACTGGCCGCACTTCGTCACGGTCACTGTGCTGCTGGCCCTGGTGCTGTGCGGGGCCCTCCTGCTCCTCCTCGCCTCCCCGCTGGGGGCGCTCCGAGCCCGGGGCAAGGTGCAGGGCTGTGGGACCCTGCCTCCCGGGGAGAAGGCCCCCCTGAGCAGGAAGCAGCACCCCCAACCTCTCAAGGACCGCAGGACCTCGGCCGGCGACGTGGATGCCGACAACAACCACCTGGGCCCCGAGGTGGCTTAAACTGAGGGCAAGGCTGGGATGTGCAGCCCTGCTGGGGGCGGGGGGGACCACGGAAGACCACTTTTCCTGCCACTCTGTGCCACCAGGAGCCCCCAGCGGGGCTGGACGCAGCGGCCGGGACCCCTGCGGGCCTTCCTCCCACCGCGCACACGGGCTCCCTGACAGGCGTCCCAGACCTGCACCAAATAAGAGCTCATAGAACAGAGTCTTCAGCTTGGCTGTTCCAGGACCTTCTGGGAGCGGGGGTGGTGGTGGGGAGGGTGTCCAGGGCCCTGCGGTAGTAAACACCAACATACAAACAGGACAGCACGTGGCTGGTAGCAGCTGCCACCTCCCCTGGGACCCAGCCAGCGCCCCGCCCTCCCCCACCCGTGCACCGCTGAGTCCCGGGAAGTCTGACCACCTCCCTTCCTGCTTCAGTCGGGGGAGCCTGTGATCCCGCTGGCCTGGCTGGAGTAACAGGGGTCACATGAGCCTCGTTCACCCCTTTCCTCCGTGACCCCTTGCTCTCTCTCCTCTCTCCTCTCCTTTATTTTGGGATTCAGAAAACTGCTTGTCACAGACAGTTTATTTTTTATTAAAAAAAAAACAAAGCTTATGAGTGGTGTTTCTGTCCAGGCAGAACGCTGCAGCGGGGGGCCGTGGGGTGGGGGGTGCGGGCAGTCCCCGACGTCAGCGGGGGGGGCCACTGGCTTTGTGGGCGGCCGGCTCCCCACCCGGAACCCGCCCCATGGCCCCTTCCTCTGCTCGGGCACCGCCAGACTGTGGCTGGAACGCCGCTGTCAGGCAGGTGCCGTCGGGTTGCGGCAGCCTCAGCTTGTCTGACCGCCGGCGCGCGCCTCATCCGTCGCTGACCCTGGCGGCCTCTGACCCCCGCAGCGGCTGCTCCCCCCACCCCTGCCCCACGGCCCCAGTTGGCGTCAACTCTTGTGGACTGAATTTATGCAGAGACTGTACAGCCACCCCCATCCCGTCCCAAAGCTGACGTGGTGCTCTGTCCACACCCAGCACCCCCACCCTCGGGCTAACCAAGCCTCTTCCCTCTGTCTGCCGAGCCCCCCGCATTGCCCCCTCACTCCACCACCCCTGCCTTCCATCTCCTGCTCCCCACCCCGGTGTGCTGGGCGTGCTCTGCGGGAACCAAACATGAGAATGCTGCTCCCCCCACCGCCCCCACCAAACACCAGAGAGGGGCCCTTCCGGCTGCCCCTCCCCCCCCAGGCCCTCACCCTGTCCAGTGCCCAGGCTTTCTCCGCACAAATGACTCTCTGAGGCTACCTCTGTGCCACCTTCACAGCCAGCCATCCTTTCCCGTGACTCCTTTCCCCTACGGCTTAACTGTTTTTAATGCTTTTTTATCTTTAATCGTGGTACGAAGCAAATACTGTAACTTTTACCCCCTGAACCACTTTTTTTTTTTAATGTTTTATTTATTTCTAGGAGAGAGAGAGAGAGAGACAGCATGAGCAGGGGAGGGTCAGAGAGAGAGGGAGTCACAGACTGAAACAGGCTCCAGGCTCTGAGCTGGCAGTCAGCACAGAGCCCGACGCGGGGCTCGAACCCACGAACCGCGAGATCATGACCCAAGCGAAAGTTGGACGCTTAATCAACTAAGCCACCCAGGCGCCCCCCCCCCGAACCACTTTTAAGTTCCTGTTAGGTAGTGTTAACGACACCCACGTTGCTGTGAAACATCCTAGAGCGTTTTCCTGTCGCAGATCTGGGTCTCATCTCCCCGTGTCCCCTTCCCCACGGCCCCGGCAGCCACCGATCCACTCGCCACGAACCTGACCACGTTAGGAACTGCAGGCGGAAGCGTGGTGCTCAGCCTCCTGCGACTGGCTTTTTCCTCGCACCGTAGCGCCCTCGAGGTTCACCGCAGCGGAGCCCGGACGCGATCTCCTTCCTCCAGGGGGTGGGGGGGGGGCGCTGAAGGGTGTGGCGCCGGCCCCATCTCCTGACGGCGCATCTACGCCCGGTGGTGGCCGGCGTGAGCACTGGGCCACTCAAGACCCCGCCTGCCGCGTCTTCGTTTCGTGGCTTCTCCAGGGGTTTCTCTCTCCCCTGCTGGCTCCTCCTCCTCCGCCCCCAGTGTCCTTTTACCCCGGGGCCTGGCTTCCCCTCTTCCAAGCACCCGCAAGCCTCCCGCGGCCCCCCTGCTGACCTGGGGACCATGAGCTGTGGGGACAGGACAGGGCGCTGGGCCAGGACGTGGCTCCCCTCCCGGGCGTCACCTGCAGTGAGCGCAGACCCCTCTCCCGTCTGCCCCCCAAGCTCCTCAGCTGTCAGAAGGAAGGGCGCGCGGGAAGCTCCTGTGCTTTAAGCATCGCGGGTCCCTCCCGGCCAAGTGGCCAGGCTCCGGAGCCAGCTGTCCCCGCGCCCCAGCCGGCAGAAGGACGTCTTCATGCAGGGGCCCAGAGGCTCCTGGAAGCACATCCCGTCTCTCCCCTGGTGTGCCTCCCCTCAGCGTCACTCTGGAAACTTCTCTTTCCTCATGTCCCTCTGAGGTACAATGTAGGCGCCTCATGCATCTTGCTAGCCGTCCCCAGTCCTGGCCGGTTATTCTCCCCCAGGATCCCCGGCCCTCGCTGCCTGCATCATTCGGGAGGTACTCAGAGCCGCCCACAGAATGTGAGAGACTGGGGGCACCGGGGGGCTCAGTCGGTTAAGAGGCCCACTGTTGCTTTCGGCTCAGGTCACGGTCTCACGGTTGGTGAGTTCGAGCCCCCCATCAGGCTCTGGGCTGACAGCGTAGAGTCAGCTTGGGACTCTTTCTCTCTCTCTCTCTCTCTGCCTTTCCCTCACTTGCTCTCCCTCTTTCTAAAAATAAATACTAAAAAAAAAAAGAAGAATGTGAGGCAGCGGGATGGCACATGCGGTGCCCGCGCCGGCTGTCAGCTCCGGGGGCAGGAGGCTCTCAAGCCACAGCCTGCAGTGTGGGCGCCGCGCTCGAGCGACTGAGGCCTTGGGAGACGCCCACCGCCTGTGAGAGCACGGCCTGGGTCAGGCTCACCCTATGTGACCTGTCGGCACACTCTGACCTGGGTGACAGCTCCTTCCTGGGTGATACCTGGCCTCTGGCCTCCGGCCGCGGTGCCCTCGTGTTCGTCTGCCTGCCTGTTTCTCTCTGCGTCCCCCTCTCCTGCGAGCACTGTGCCCTCCCTGTAAAGGCTGCCTTGGGGGGCCCCTGGGGGGCTCAGTCGGTTAAGCGTCCAACTTTGGCTCAGGTCATGATCTCACGGTTCGTGGGTTCGAGCCCCCCAGCTCAGAGCCTGGAGCCTGCTTCAGATTCTGTGTCTCCGTCTCTCTCTGACCCTCCCCTGCTCTCTCTCTCTCTCAGAAATAAATAAAACATTGGGGCGCCTGGGTGGCTTAGTCGGTTAAGCGTCTGACTTTCGCTTAGGTCATGATCTCGCGGTTCGTGGGTTCGAGCCCCGCGTCGGGCTCTGTGCTGACTGCCAGCTCGGAGCCTGGAGCCTGTTTCAGTCTGTGACTCCCTCTCTCTCTGACCCTCCCCTGCTCACGCTGTCTCTCTCTCTCTCCTAGAAATAAATAAAACATTAAAAAAATAAAATAAAATAAAGTTTCCCTTGGACAGAGTCTCCACACCTGCTGCTTCCGCTCCTGCCTCTTAACCAAGGATGCCCCCCACCCTGCCCCCGCCCCCCACCCCCCACCCCTCCCCATCCATCGGGCAAACACACACTCAGTGCTGCTGTGGTTCAGAGCTTGGCCTGACACTGGGAGACACACGAGTCGGCCTGCTTCCTGTCCTCACAGGGCTTGCGACCCAGCAGCAGGGCCGGCCACCGGGAAGAGGTAGTGCGGGGGATAGAGCGCTGCCTGCCCCTCCACCCACTGCTTGCCTGCACCTGGACACACCACAGACCTCTCTAATGCCACGTGTCCCAAGTTCAATGTACCGTCCCCTCCAAACCTGCTCGCCTCCAGTGTTCCCCTAGGGTGGAGGCTTGGAACTCACCCTTCACCTCCACTCCCCCACCCCTCCCCTCCCCTGAGTGGGGCTCCGGCCCCATCTCCTCCCCCACCTCCTCCTCGCTCGCCCTGGAACCCCTCAGCACCTCTGCAGCCCCACCAGGTCCCGACCCCTTCACCCAGACAACCAGGCCCGGCCCTGCACCAGTCGCTTCCACCTTTCTGTCACTCTCGTCCAGACTCCAGCCTCTGGTCCAGGTCAAGAGGAGATTACTAAAAAAAAGAAAAAAAAAATTCTGCCTCAGACTTGAGATGGCTTCTCACTAGATCCAGGATAAAGAAACGAAAACCTCCTGGAACAGCGTGGCTCCCCCTGCCCCCCCATCCCCCAGCTCCTCCATACACCCCTCGGTGCTGCTTACAGCTTCTGGGCACCTCTGTGCAGCTCGGCGGGAACGGTACTGAGTGCCTGGCTTATTCCAGGTCTTGGTGACACGGCGATGAATAGACAGCCTGCCTAAAGGAGGTAACAGTGAGGTTCCTTTGGGCACGTTGCTGCTTCCACCTAGAACAGCAAACCCCTCCCCCCCCCGTTCCTCTCTAACCTGCCGTGCAGAATTAGTGCCCTGTACACACCTCACTGGGACCCCTTTCTCTACCGGCACAACATCACTGGGCGTCTGTGTGCCTGGCATACGGTAAGTACTCTCAGTGCTGAAATCCATCCATTTGTTCAAATATTTACTGAGCACCTATTATGTGACAAGCACTGTTAGGTGTCGAGGACACACTACTGAGCAAAGCAGACACGATTCTTGTGGTCGCAGAGTGCACACACGTTCTAGTGTGGAAGACAGATAACGGGTCAGTCAAAAAGGTATGGGACATTAGACGGTGGTGTGCTATAAGGGATAAAATTGAGTTGGCACTAGCGGGGGACGGGCAGGGAAAGAGGGCTCCAGGCCCAGAGCTGTCAGCACCGACCCCAATGTGGAGCTCAAACCCACAAACCACGAGATCATGACCTGAGCCAAGTTGGATGCTTAACCGACTGAGCCACCCAGGCCCCTCTGTACAATTTTAAATAGGAGATTCAGAGTAGGTCTCACTGATAAGGCAAAGTTTGAATAACCAAACAACGAAGTAAATGAAAGCATGAGCTATGTGGATGCCTGGAGGAAATGGTTCTAGACTTAAGCAGAAGCCCATGCAAAGGCCCTGAGGTAGGGGTGAGAGCAGTACATGAAAGGAGAAAGATACTGGGGGGAGAATGGGGATTACATGACCCTGTAGGCCACTGCCATGTAGATGTCTTTTATTTCTAATAAATAGGGAACCACCAGAATATTTAGAAAAGGGGAGGGAACATGATCTAAGAATTCAAAGCATCACTCTGGCTGCTTTCTCATGATTAGAACATAGCAGGAGCAAGGATGTCAACAAAGAAATTCATGAGGTAGCTACTGGAATAATCCAGATGGGAAAGGATCGTGTCTGGGAGCAGAGCAGCAGTATGGAGGTGGTGGAAAGTGGCCAAGCTCTGGACATATTTTTTAAAATTTTATTTATTTATTGAGAGACAGAGAGAGAGAGAGGATTCCAAGTAGGGTCTGTGGTGTCAGCATAGAGCCCAATGTTGGGCTCGATCTCATAAATGTGAGATCACGACCTGAGCCAAAACCAAGAGTCAGTTGTGTAAGGGACTGAGCCACCCAGGTTCCCCTGGCATATTGTTAAGATAAAACCAATGGTGTCTCATGATGGATTGCATGTGATGCATGAGAAAAAGAGAACATTCAACGATGGCCCCCCGATATTTGGGCAAATGGAAGAATGCACTTATTGATGAACTGAGGTAAGGAAAAGAATGTCTATTCAAGCCCTTTGCCCATTTTTAAACTGAGTTGCTGGTCTTTGTTTGTTGCTGCCATGTAGAAATAACTCTTTTGAAGTGAACGGACTGTCCATCATGGCCCCCCAGTCCTTCGTTCCCTCCTTATATTAAACATTTTTTGCTAATTTTTTTTTTTCTTGAGAGAGGGAGAAAGAGCACCAGCCCGGGAGGTGCTGAGAGAGAGGATCCAAAGGAGGCTCTGCTCTGTCAGCTAAGTGCCCAACGCGGGGCTGGAACTCAGGAACCCCGAGATCATGACCTGAGCCAAAGCCAGACACTCAACGTTGATCCAGCCGGGTGCCCTCTTCTCCTTTCAAATCCAAGTACAGGCAAAGAGTTCCAGACCAGAAGAGACCCTATGTCATTTACTCCACCTCCAGGATTTTTTGAGTCCTCAAACCTCAAAACGGGCTGTCTAACCCATTTGAGTCCTTCCTCCTGCACATTGGCCTCTACTGCTTTGGCTCTACAGATCAGAATTACGCAAAATTTACAGATTAGATTTAGTTTAAGATATCCCACAGACCCGAAACACAAGGTGACCCACTTTCAACAGCACCTCCCAGAAGCGCCCGGTGCCTCGGTTTCGGCGGAGGAGAAAGGACACGCACGCGCCGTAAAGCTGAGGGCAGAACGAAGCCAATAGAGGCGTGGCTTCTGCCCGAATTCAAAATGGCTCCAGGACCCGCCCATCCACTCTTCGGGGGCGGGGCCAGAGGCTCAAGGCTCAGGACGCCATTGGTGGAGTTGCCTCACAGGGCATCCCCCGCCAGGAGGCGGGGTGACAGTGTCCCATTTCCGGTTCCGGCAGTACCGGGAGCCGGGTCGGGATGGGGGAAGATGCGAGCGGACGCCGGCGGTCGCCGGGCATGGAGGCTGGAGTGGGCGCTGTGGCCTAGAGGGCCGGGCTTGGGGTTCCCCTCGGACGCGGCGGAACCGCCGTGATCGGAGAAGGTAAGAAAGCACCGGCCTGGGGCGCCTGACGACTGAGGTCTCCGCGGACCTGGACCTGTCACGGAGGCAGGGCTGCCTGCAGGTCTAGGGGAGCCCGCCGCGCAGCTCTGGAGGTGCAGGGCGACTCCAGCGAGGCCTCTCTCTCCGCCGGAGGGGCCTAGACTCGCCGCCCGCGGAAGAAGCGGGGCGAGGGTCGTGGCGGGGGCCGCGGCTGTGCGGGGAGCAGGACCGAGGCTGCCTAAAGGGGTGTCATGTGGTGTCTCTGGAGAGGGATCACGTGGGTGGAAGACCAGGGGAGAGCTGGGTGGGAACTCACGGTGTCCGAGGGAGGAGATGGCCTCCAAGGAGGGGTGGGAGGCAACACCAGGGACCTCCTCCTAGAGACAGGCGTATTCAGAGGGCAGGTGGGCCAGCATGTACACACAATCGCGGTCCCGTCGTTGGTCGCTCCCGGGAAGCCGAGTCTGATGCAGATGCGGAGGGAGAGCAGGGGAACGGAAGGGGGAAGCAAAGATCTCGTTTCCAGCTGAGAATCCGAGACCCAACCGCTCGGTGTGGTGTCCTGCGTTTTTGCTTTGGTGCGGCGGTTGGCTGAAAAGATCTGAGTGCGTCTACTGATCATCGCTGGGCCCAGTTCTGGCGACCAGTCAGGATGGAGCCATCATGGCCCTGGACTCTTCGAGCAGTTGTCGTCATTGTTGTGGCACTGAAGGTCCTTTATATTTAAGGCAGTGTTTTCCAAAACGCTGACACGCGTCAAGCTCCCAGAGAACTTGTTAAACTGTTGGCTCTTACTCAGAAGGTCTAGCTCGCACCCTGAAGTCCCGGATTTCTAACAGGCCCCCAGGTAATGCCCGAGTGCTGGTCTGTGCGCCGCTCCGAGTAGCCAGGATTCAGAGCAGCGCCGTCTAACAGCACTGCCTGCAGTGATAGAACTGCTTTGCTGTTACAAAATGCTCCCGCACTTATTACCTCACATGAGTTGCACCACACTTTTATGTAGCCGTGGCAGGCTTCGCTAGTCCCGTGTCACCGATGAGGAAACCGAGTGCCAGTCGAGTGCCCCGGTTCGCATCCTCCCAGCAGGTAACGGAAGTGGAACTCAAACTTGGATCTCCTGAGTGCTCCTGTTCTTTCAACTGCGTGACCTGGCCTTGCAGGTGACACGGCCTTGTCTTGAACCAGAATCTTATCTCGGGACCTAGTGAATGGCCTGCTGTGCTGTTTCTGGTGCAGGAAGAGTGGAAGTGGGAGGAAGGGAGGTGTATGGAGACCACCGATTTGTCCCTTTCCGCTGCCAGTGAGGTGGCGGCGGCTCTGCCTCTGACGTCTCATGTGACGACTTTGGGATGCCCTGGGTCATCTGAACAGTGTCCAGAGATGGGAGGAAATTCAGAATTGGAGCTGTGGGCACAAATAAGGGTCTAGGAAAGAACCACAGAGAACTGGGGCGGATCGAGTGGGAGAGGGGAAGGCCGGAAGCGTACGGGAGTCTGCAGAGAGGATTTTCCAGAGGGTAAAACAAGAGGAACTGCTTTTGATCTTTCAGCAGGAGGTTTGGAAGTTATGTAACAAAGAGGAGGTTGAGATCCCACCTTTTGAGAGCAGCCCCACCTCTTGAAGGGGTAGCGGGAGGGAGTGCAGTGCCCTCTCCCTGTCACCTGCAGAGGCTTATTCCTCTGAGGCAGGACCCCGAGTGGCTTCTCCTGTCACCACGGCAATGGTAGGCCCTGCTTGGGCCTCGGAGGGGAGAGTCCCCCTTCCTTTTGGGAATTTAAAATCAACTGGCTCACGTAAGAGACGGAGGAAATCAATGGGGCCCTGGGTCCTGCCTTAGGATTTCTCAGCGGGAGAGCTGGCACTTTGCGATCCAGCTTGACAAGTTGAGAAGGCGCCCACAAAGCCAGGTCCCGGACAGAATCCTTCACTGCCCCTCCTTTCTGCCCTGCTTAGCGCATGGCTTGCCCAAGCCCGGCAGGAGGCCCTCCTGCTTGCACCTAGCCGGATTTGCCCTGTGACAGCACTGTCCCCGCCGGCCACTCGTCTCGCTCCACCGGCACACCGGGAAAGCATGGGCTGATCTTGGTTTCTCTAGGACAAAGTGGAGAGAAAGCCCTGGTCATCTGCGGCTCCAGGAGCTTCCGCTTAACCCTTGGGTGACCAGTGCTCTTGAGGGCATTAATTCTGCCTCCCAGGGGTGGGGGTGACTTGGGTTTTGGCCAAGCAGCGTGACTTGTGCTGGAGCCCCTCAGTCCCCGTGGGGTAGAAGGCGTGGTGTAGACGAGAGATCTTGGCTCACAGCCTGCCCTCACCACTGGCCAGCCGGGTGACCTTGGCCCTTTTCCTTGTAACTTATCTGATGCTCTGTTTTCTCATTTAGCAGAAGTGTCTAACTTTGCACAGGTTAGGTTGTAAGGATTACACGACGCGATAGGTATTCAGTAAATCCTAGAGTCTCTCTGTCTCCCTCCTCGTTGCTCAGTCGTTCTGGAACGATGACCTTGGGCCCCTGGCTCACACTCTGGGCAGGGCAGACAGTGACCACCTTCTCTTGAAGGCCTCGAAGGAGACTGCCCTGCTGGATTTGGTGAGAGTCCCAGTCTGAGGCAGTGGGGGAAGGGCCACTTGTGTCCCCAGCAGGTGACACGGCAGTATTCCTTCCGCTTAGTTCCCACAGCCTAGATTCTCCATTCCGGCAACCTCATTGTTCTAAGCCATTGTACTCTCGTTTCACCGTCTACACGCACTCCTCCATTCAAACAGCCCTGTCCCCCAGGGCCCCCTCCCGCCTGCCTCCCCGACACCGAGGAGTTCCCGCAGCCCGCGCGTGGCCAGCTGCCCTGCAGGTGGCCTGTGCGTGGTGAAGGCGCCACTGTCCAGCTCGCTGGATTCTGGAGAGCTACCCTCGCTTCCGTGCTGACTTCCACGGGGAGCAGGCAGCCCCTGGGGCCAGCTGGGCCCCCAGGTCGGGGAAGGTGGTTGAGGGTGGACTCCATTTAGACACGAGTTTTGCCCAGGCACTGGCTTCGGGGACATTTCAGCTTCTAGACTTGTCCCTTTGATGTGGCCACCTCCTCTCCCAGCCTGTGGGGTTTTCTCCCGGAGCCTGGGGAGCCCTGACGTCTCGCTGCCAGTCTCCCTTCCCAGTTTCCCTGCCGGCTGAAAATGTCCAGTGTCCTACCCAGGAGCACGTCACCTTGTCCTGAGGGTGTGTCCAATATATCATGACCTCTTAGTAGACACTTCTTGAGTTGGAGGCTCCTAATTTTATACAATTATTACATTAGTCTTAGTTTTGTTTGAAAACGTAGGCAAAGGATACGGTTGACAGGAGAGCCGCATGTGCAGTGATTTGCCCTGGTTTCTCTCCAGATCTTACACTCATTCCCGGAGGGACACTGTGTCATCTCGAATAGACTGTGAGTTTCTTGAAGGCAGAGTCCGTATCTTCCCTGCCACTTGCATGTACCCTCATACAGGATGGAGGTTATTATTTCTATGCTTTGGGGTGAAAGGAGCCAGACACGTCTTCTACCGTGTGGGTCTCAAGGCTCTTCAGGGGAACTACTTAGCCGTCTGCTGGTTCTTTTCTCTCTCTAGAGTGAGTTATCTAATAACCAGAGAGGACTCTGACCTTTGACTTGTTCCTAACTTTCCAGCTCCTTTCATTCGAGGGGGTGGGGGTGCCACACTTTCTTCTAATGCGGACTGGAACTGATGTAAGGTAGAGAGTGTGGGTCAGGGTCGCTCAGAGGGGCCAGCTCGGGGGAAACCAGAGAGAAAGTAAGGTGAGGCAGCTAGTGATGGCGACGAAGAGGCACCGTGCCGAGGGCGAGAGGGCAAGGCCTTGCCTCCTCACCTGAAATGGAGCACTTCCCTTCATTAGGGACCTGCTAAGTGATGTCCCAATAGCCCGCTTGGCGTCCAGCTGGCCAGGTGGTTTATCCTCAGTGTCCTGAGCTCTGCCTGAGTGAGGACGGGCTGTGCTGCAAGGGCCCAGGCAGAGGCAGAGAGCGGAACCGGCGATGTGACAAGCCCAGGGCAGGGGGCTGAGGTGGGCATGGAGCCGAGGGAGTCACTGAAGTGAGGGCCGGGCTGATAAAGGAGAGAGAAGGGCGCAGCATCCTGACCCGCGAAGGAAGACTTAGGTGGGAGTTGGCCAAGCCGGGCTGGGTGGAACCTAAGCTTTGGGGACGTGAGTGCCCCGGGAGATGAAGCTGGGGGAGGGGAGGGATGTTCGGGGCCTGGCCAGGAGGGCAGAGTGCGAGGTCCCGGCCTCCTTTCCCCACGCGCCCACCTGCTCATGTCCCCAGGTCTTCGGGCACCATGGAGGACAAACGCAACATCCAGATCATCGAGTGGGAGCACCTGGACAAGAAGAAGTTCTACGTGTTTGGCGTGGCCATGACCATGATGATCCGCGTCAGCGTCTACCCCTTCACCCTCATCCGCACCCGGCTGCAGGTTCAGAAAGGCCGGAGCCTCTACCACGGGACGTTCGACGCCTTCGTCAAGATTGTGCGGGCGGACGGTGTGACTGGCCTCTACCGGGGGTTCCTGGTCAACACCTTCACCCTCATCTCTGGCCAGTGCTACGTCACCACGTACGAGCTCACCCGCAGGTTTGTCGCCGACTACAGCCAGAGCAACACGGTCAAGTCGCTGGTGGCCGGTGGCTCGGCCTCCCTCGTGGCCCAGAGCATCACGGTGCCCATCGACGTGGTGTCCCAGCACCTGATGATGCAGCGCAAGGGCGAGAAGATGGGGCGCTTCCAAGTGCGAGGGGCCCCCGGGGGCCGAGGGCTGGCTGCCTTTGGCCAAACCAAGGACATCGCCAGGCAGATCCTGCAGGCTGACGGGCTCCGAGGCTTCTACCGAGGCTACGTGGCCTCCCTGCTCACCTACATCCCGAACAGCGCCGTCTGGTGGCCCTTCTATCACTTCTATGCAGGTAAGGGGGCGCCGGGAGAGCTCAGGGCGGGCCTGCTGACGGCCGGGATGCTGCGGCTTCGCGCACGCCGGCGTGCAGGAGCTAGCGGGAGGGTGGGCTGGCTGCCGGCCAGCGCTGGACTCCAGGAGGGTTCGCAGACGATACGACCCCGTTCTTGGCTGCCCAGAGCTTCTGTTGTCGGGCGGGCGGGCGGGCCAGTGGAGCAGGTGACCGTAGAAATAAAGTGCATTCTGGTGCGTCAGTGTCAACAAGGGTTAGCGGGATATTGGCCGAGAACTGGAAGACGAGGAGGCTCAATAGTCTTGGGATGTTTGCGACTTGAACATGAGATTTCGCGTTTCAGGTGAGCGTTGGACTGGGTTGCGTTTCCTCGGCGTTGTTAAATTCAGGGTGGTGTAGAACCTGGAGCCTCCCCACTCCTGCGATGTGTCCTTGTTCCTGAGACATTTTACTTCTTTTTGAGTATTTCCCATAAGGGGTTACTAGATCCAAAGATAACATTTTCGAGTCTGGGCTTGTAACCTCCTGAGCCTGGCAGTGGATCTTCCGTCCAGTCCACCTGGGGCCTTTCTAACCAGCTTTCATAAGGGCTTCTCACCCGTAATCATTCTGTCCGTCTGGCACGCACTTCTTGGACTGTGTTTCCCTGATTGCACCTTCTTTATTGCCAGTTCTGTTTCTCTCTTCTGTTTAACACAGTCTTTTCTAGAGTGTTTGGTAAAGTTCACATACCTGGATTTCACCCCTGACTCCACATCAGATTCTTTGGGAATGGGTCCTGGTCAGCTTAATGTTAAAAAAACAAAACGGGCACCTGGGTGGCTCAGTCAGTTAAGCCTCCGACTTTGGCTCGGGTCATGATCTCACAGTTCGTGGGTTCGAGCCCCGTCGGGCTCTGTGCTGACAGCTCAGAGCCTCGAGCTTGTTTCAGATTCTGTATGTCCCTCTCTCTCTGACCCTCCCCTGCTCATGTTCTCTCTCTCTCTCAGAAATAAATAAAACATTAAAAATTTTTTAAAAATAATAAAAAAATAAAAAAACAAAACAAAACAAAAAACTCTGGGCACCTGGGTGGCGTCTGACTTGATTTCGGCTCAGGTCACGTTCTCACAGTTAGTGGGTTCGAGTCTCGCAGGAGGCTCTGGGCGCTGAGTGCAGAGCCTGCTTGGGATTCTCTCTCTCTTTCTCTCTCTCTGCATCTCCCCCTCCCCTGCTGGCATGCGCTTCCTTTCTCTCTCTCAAATAAGTAAACATTAAAAAGTAAATAAATAAACTCCGCATGCCTGGTTCAGTCAGTTAAGCATTGAACTCTTGATTTTGGCTCGGGTCGTGATCTCGTGGTTGTGAGATTGAGCCCTGAGTCAGGCTCCGTGCTGAACATGGAGCCTGCTTGGGATTCTCTCTCCCCCTCCCTCTCCCTGCCCCTCCCCTGCTTGTGTTGCCCCCCCCAAATAAATAAGTACATAACAACAAAACACTCAAGAAACGTGAGCATTCTCTCTAGCGTCTGTCTTTGCCCTTCTCTCCTCACTTGATTTTAACTGTAATTGAATCGTACTTTTCTCTCCATCCCCAGACTAACTTTCAGGGTTCTGGACAGACACGCTGACTGTTGGAGCTCTTAGATGCATGCATTTATGTGTGAAATGTTACTCGGTTAACTATGTTTCATCCCAGGCTGGCCTTCCCTTCCGACCCTCTTCCCTCTCTTAGTGGCCGCGTTATTCTGCACATTACGGGGACTGAAGCCCAGGGGCTGTGCTTGGCCGTCGCCTCTTCCTTGTCCCCGGTGACCCCGGAATGCCTTTCCCTACTGTCTCCATTCCTCCTGCCTTCCTGGAAACCGTGCCTCCGTTACCAGCCTGCCGGGCGCTGCGCCAGCCCTCTCACTGCTCACACCGGCCCTAACAGATTCACTCTTTAAACGTTGGTTGTGATGCTCCGGAGCCCCACTGCTCACTGCGTACCGGCCTCTTAGCCTGGCTTCGGCCTCCCTTCACGGTGCAGCCCCCCAGAGCAGCCTGCTGCAGCCAGACTTACCCACAATGCCCCGCTGTGCACCGTCTCCCCTCCCCCTGCTTGGTTCTTCTCGTCCCTCTGCCTGGATGCCCTCCAGCCCCACTTACCCTGGGGAAATCGTGACTTTCCTGAAGTGCTCCTTGCTGCTCCCTCTCACGTCTCCCTGCGTAGCCCTTAGCCTGTGAGTGATCTTTCCCCCTTAGGGCTCCTGCGACATCGCTTGAATCTGTCTTTGGCACCAGCATCCCTTGCCTTGAGGTTATTATTTCTTCAACCCTGTGGAAAGGTTCCTTTTTTTTTTTTAATTAATTTATTTATTTTGAGAGAGAGAGAGCGCATGAGCTGCAGGGGAGGAGCAGGAAGAGAGAGACAGAGAGAGAGAAAGAGAGAGAATCCCAAGCAAGCTCCGTGCTTGTCAGCACAGAGCCCAACACAGGACTCGATCCCACAAACCGTGAGATCGTGACCTGTGCCGAGAGTCAGACACTTAGCTGACTGAGCTACTCAAGTCCCCCAAGGTTCCTTTTCATTAAATGTATTTCTTTCTAGTTTTATTGAGATATAATTGATTGGAAAGTTTCTTGGAAACAGGAGGGAACAGACATTTATTGAATATGCTCTACATGCCAGGCTCTGTGACACATGTGCTTAGTAAATGTTTGTTTGTTTGTTTTTTATAATGTTTTTATTTATTTCTGAGAAAGAGAGAGACAGCATGAGCAGGGGAGGGTCAGAGAGAGAGGGAGACACAGAATCTGAAGCAGCTTCAGGCTCTGAGCTGCCAGCACAGAGCCCGACGCGGGGCTTGAACCCACGGACCGTGAGATCCTGACCTGAGCCAAAGTCGGATGCCCAACCTACTGAGACCCCCCCAGGCGCCCCAGCAAATATTTGTTGAATGAGTAGATTGGTTCTTGTCATTCCCTTTGCTTAAAATCTACTGATGCTGCCTCTGGGCACGTAGAAGACGATGGAACATGGCGCGGGTCAGTGCAGTCCGCAGGCTCTGGGCCTGTGCGGTGCCGGCCCCTGGCTGCCCGCTGCCACTGTGTTCCGTTCCGTGCTGTCATTCTCTCGGTCCCTGAAATGCACCAGACCCCGTCCTCACCTCTCCGCCTTTGCAGATGACGTTCTTTCGGCCTGGAACGCCCCGTCGCCTGTCCTTTGTGTGGCCGGCTGCTTCTTGAGCTTCAGGCCTGGCCTGACATGCCCGCCACCTTCCCACCGGCTTGTTCACCCAGTTGGAAAGAGGGCTGGGTTTTGCCAGTTTGTTTCCTTCGTAGCACGTGTCACCGTTTGCGATCATTTTATCCGTCACTCACAGTCCTTGAGTCCCACAAAGGCACTGCTCATTTCTCCATCATGTGTCCTGAGCTCACCGCAGCACGTGGGACCCAGTAGCAGTAAATAAACACGCGTTTATGTTGCTGTCCACAGACACTTAGGAGGAGGGACTTAAAGCAAGTCAGCCTGGGCTTCTCTTCTGCCTTGCGGATAATAGGTGCCCGGTAAGCACTTGTTGAATGAATAACGGAGAGCGACGATATGGGGCTCTGTCCCCCACTCTCTGGCTTTGGTGTCTCATCCTCTGCCTACGTCACAGGAAAAGGGCATGTGTGTGCAATCACAGCTGGACTCTGGTCCTGCCGTGGCTTGCAGGCCCAGGGGCCGGTGCAGGCAGGCCCACGGAGGCTGGCCATGCCAGCCCATGCCAGCCCAGATGCCACCTTCCAGTGGCCGCAAGATGCCTCCTCCTCGGGGGCCAGGACGCGGCTGAGGCGGTGCCAGCAGGTCCCTTTGTCTCAGCTGATGCTGGCCCAGGGAGGGAGGGGTGGGGGCTGTGGCGGGGCTTCAGGACCCCCGTGCCACGCTGCTGCGTCGAGACCCTCACGTCCAGCCCCCACCGGCCCGCTGCACCCTCGGCTCCAGGTACTGGGACATGAGGAACTCCGTTATTCATTCAACAAGTGCTTACCAGGCACCTACCTGGACTGTGGAGCGGACGGAGCCGGAGGCTTCGAGACGGCCCACTCACTACCCCAGCCTCCCTCAGAGCACAGGGCGTTTCCTCTGCTTGGAAAGTTCTTTGCACCGATGCGTGCACTCGCCCGCAGGCCTTTGCTCATCCCCTCCCGGGAGGGCTCCCACGACCGCCTTGCTGAGAAGGCAGCCCCTTCGCTCCCGGTGCCTGGCGTTCCCTGCCTCCCGTCCCTGCTCTGTTTTTGTCTCTAGGGGGCACACGTCCCCTTCTGACGCAGCTGTCGGTTTTGCCTTCCATTCATACGGTCTGTGTCCCCCGCTAGAAGGCCACATTCGTAAGGGCAGGGGCTTCAGACTCTCCCGTTCGCTGTCCCGCCCTCGAGCCCGGGGTGGCTGGCGCGTGGTAGTTGCTCAGTCAACTTTTGTTGAACAAATGCACGAGCTCTTGTTTTTCACTTCCAGAGAGGCTGAAGCAAAGAATTCAACTGCAGGGCAGCCTCCCGGTGATGCTGGGAAGGGGGGACCGTGGGTACGCCGCCACGGTCTCCATTAGCCGTTTGGGAAATGAGTTCTTCTTTGTTAGTATAGCCTGCAGAAAACATCTCACTGTAGGGTACGACTTTCTCTTTTCATGTGATTTTTATTTTTTATTTTTTTATTTATTTTTAATATTTTTTATTTATTTCTAGGAGAGAGAGAGAGACAGCGTGAGCAGGGGAGGGTCAGAGAGAGAGGGAGATACAGACTCTGAAACAGGCTCCAGGCTCTGAGCTGGCAGTCAGCACAGAGCCCGACGCAGGGCTCGAACCCACGAACCGCGAGATCATGACCTAAGCGAAAGTCGGACGCTTAACCGACTAAGCCACCCAGGCGCCCCAATGTGATTTTTATTTTTAAAAACAATCACATGGATGAATATATGGTGGACGGTTACTCAACCATGACAAAAACCATCTTACCATTTGCAACAACGTGGATGGATCTAGAGCGTATTATCCCAAGTGAAATAAGTCAGTTGGAGACGCACATACCCTGTGGTCTCAGTCTCGTGTGGAATTAAGAAACAAGACAAGGAAAACAAGGGACAAACCAAGAAAACAGACTGTTGACTACAGAGAACACCCTGGTGGCCACGGAGGGGGGGTGGGGGGAACAGGTGACGACGAAGAGCCCCTTGCTGTTGCGAGCTCTGAGTGCGGGGTACGAGTGTTGGGTTGCCGTGCTGTGCGCCTGAGTAACACGATACCGCGTGTTAACTGACTGGGATTTAAAAAAAATCTTCTCATGGCTCGAAATTCAGAAGAAAGAAGGGGATGTGGTGACAGGCTCCTCGGCACCACGGTCACCCTGCTCCCGTCCCTGGAGACGGTCAGCGCTGCCAGCTTGACTGTTTCCCGCACGCGGCGCGGGCCCGCCTGGCCTGTGACACGGGAGGGGCACTCGCGTGTGGGTGTTACGCCAGGAAGGGCTCTGTCCACTGGCTGAAGGGAGTTGGCGGCACGGAGGCTCTGAAGCCCCCGCTCCGGAGGCCGCCTGTGCTCACGGGTGAGAGAGGCGCCCGCGTGGCCTTGGAAGGGGCCTGAGCGTCCTCATTTGTTCTTGGGTCAGGAGGAAGCAGAGAAGAGAGGGTGCGAGTTACAGGATCTCAGGTGGCTTGGGGGGGGGGGTCTTCCCCGTTGGGCCCATGAGCAGAAGCCGCGTGAGGGCACACGGGATGGCACGTCACTGTCTCGCCCTCGGTTCCAGAGCAGCTGTCGCACCTCTGCCCCAAGGAGTGTCCGCACATCGTCTTTCAAGCCGTCTCAGGGCCCCTGGCCGCGGCCACCGCTTCCGTCCTCACCAATCCCATGGACGTCATCCGAACCCGGGTGCAGGTAAGAGCAGCCTCCCCCCCACCCCCGTAAGCAGGGTCCCTGCAGGCCCCCCTGCGCTTCCCGGACCTCTCTGTGCCCCGGGCTCTAGTCCAGGCCGCCTTATCCGGGTCCCCCATCCACCAGGCGCCCTCCGTGCGGCTATAGCCTCCCACCAGCAGGGAGCGGCGGAGTGTGCCCCTCATGTGGCCCCCGCCCCGGTCCCTGCCGGGCCTCACCGGCTCCTCGCCGCCTGGCACCGCTGGCACAGCCGCTGCCTTCTCCCAGCTCAGCCGTGGTCCCCAGCAGCGAGTCCAGGGAAATGAGACCTGAATGCTGGGTGTGACGGACAAATGGCAGGTCCTGCTGGCTAAGCATGGGGTCTAACATCTGGTGCGGGAGGCTTAGGACAGCTGTGCAGGAGTGGGGTCACCGGGCTGCAGCGAGGAGGGGAGGGAAGGGAGATAACCTCGGCAGGCTGGGGGTGAAGTCGGCTTCCCTGAGACCAGGATGCTGGGATGAGGTGTATTTGCCTCTAGGAGAGAATGCCCTCTCCACCCCACCCTGCACTTTTGAAAATGACTAAATTGGCATCTGGTTGGTTTGCAGATAACCAGGTGCACAGGCTCCTTCTCACCCTCTCTTGAGCCTTGTTCTGGGAGCCTCACGACGGGGCTCTACTTCAGAGGGGCTTCCAGGCTGGAGGAGACAGGGCGCATATGGGGAGCAGAGGCGTAGCGGGCACAGCCCTGTGGATAAGGGCAGGGCAGGGGAGTGGAGGCCATCAGAGAGAGTGCTGGAGAGGAAGAGGGGAGCGTAGAGGAGGGTGGAGGTGGGGACGAGTAAGTGACATTCTCAGCCAGAGGTCACCCAGGGAATGTCACATGGGGGGGTGCGCTAATGAGCAGTATATCTGTCCTGCACTGGCTGAGGGTCCCAGGGGGGCGGTGTGCAAACGTGTGCTGGGTGCAGAGTATGGGGGCCCAGGGCAGGGGGCAGGACTGTTGGGAAGGGAGAGAGGACATTCCTGTCCTGGCCCAACTTCCAGCGTAGTCGGGAAGATGGGGCCCGGGGCGTGCGGGGGGTGACGGGTGGGGGAGGGCCCAGCGCGGGGACTCTAAGGGATTGATGCATCGGAGTGGAAATGACGAGACCAGCAGGCCCTTGAGTACCTGGCCTCCCTGAGGCCAGAGCGGACCCCCCCAGGGCAAGGGGCCCAGCTCAGCAGCTCTTCTAAGGAGAGTAGTAGCCGCTCACAGGTATGGTGCCCGGTGCCCGAGCCCCCACACGCAGTGGGCCTACTGTGCTGCTGTTTTACCTCTGAGGAAACTGAGGTGCAAAGAGGTAGGTACCTTACCCGAGGCTACGCTGTCAGCAAGGCGGGGAGCAGAACCGAACCCAGGAAGGCGAGTACCAGAGCCCGTAGAAACCGCCGTGCCCCCACCCGGCCCCCACGTCCCGTCTTCCCGCCGTAACCACGGCTGCGCTGAGCGGTGCCGACTGCAGACCGCCGCCTTCAGCCACGTCGCTTTTCCAGGTTGAAGGCAAGAGCTCCATCATCCTGACCTTCAGACAGCTGATGGCAGAGGAGGGGCCATGGGGCCTCATGAAGGGCCTCTCGGCCAGGGTCATCTCGGCCACGCCCTCCACCCTGGTCATCGTGGTGGGCTACGAAAGCCTCAAGAAACTCAGCCTCCGGCCCGAGCTGGTGGACTCGAGACACTGGTAACCGGCGGCGGGGCGCGAACCCTGCCACTTCCCACAGTACTTCGGGGCGGGGGGCGCCCTCTCCAGGGGCCCCCTGCACACGCGCAGCCCCACCCTGGGCCAGGTGGCCTGGGAGGGACAGGGCAGGGACTCTGGACTGCTCTTGCTGAAGAGGCTCCGCACCTGGACCCCCTGCCCCCCACCCCCCGGTAGTTTTTAATTTTCTTGCCAAACTGGGCTCCCTGCTCAGTCCCCGCACTCAGTCCCCATGCGAGGAACCCGGTCCCCAGCGATCCCACGCCCGGTGCCCTGCGGACCCTCCCGCCGCCGTCTGCGGCCCTGAGATCTGACGAGCCGTGGGCAGCGCCCGCTGCCGGGGCTGCTCCCCGTCCCGGGCTCTCAGCCCGACGTCCCGCGGCCGCCGTCAGCCCCTCTCTGCTTCACCTCCAGCGAACGCCTGCTGGTTTTCACTTTGGGACTGAGCTGCCCTCCAGACTCTTCCGCCATTGCCTGCCCCGGGGCGAGGTGCCAGGCACTCCTGCGCGGGCAGTGGGGGCAGTGAGCCCTGCGGTTCTCCAGAGTCCGTGTCCTCTCTTTGGAGAGTTATTAGGTTGGGGACAGATGTTGATACTTTATTTTGTGTGCGTGTTTTTTTTAACACCTGTGAACTAGTACTGTCAGTCCCGCTGTAGCCTCGGTCCTGCAGTCGAGCCCACCCCCCCTCAGGAAGCTTTCCCTCCGTGCCCATCACCCATCACCCGCCCCCCGGCCTTTGGAAGCCGCGGCCCAGGACGTGCAAGCTGCCGGCCCCTCTGGCCCCGGTGACTCCAGGGGCGGCCCAGTCCTGAGTGGGCCAGGCTGTCCCCGCGCGCTGCACTGGGAGTACTGCCCTGAGAAGCCAGGCAGAGAGAGTCATTTGGAAGGTGACGCGAGGGCACACGGCCCTGGACCGGCCTGGCGAAGCCCAGGAGAGGGCAGCGAACGTTCTCTGCCCGGGCGGGTCATGACGCCCAGGCGGGTCATAACGTACACGCCCGAACCAGTCACCAGGACTAGCGGAAACAGATGTGTCACCGTGGGAACCTCTGAGACGAGAACTGTTCGTGAAGAGTCAGCCCAGTCGCGGCTGTCCCGAGGGAGGCCTGGGGGAGAGGAAGGAGCCGGTCAGGAGGCCCCCCGATACCGGGACCACTGCATCTACCAGCCGATACTGCCGAGACTCCCTGTTGAAGCTCTTGGGGGGGGGGACAGCGAGCCCTCCTCCCCGCAGCCGCGGTGGGCAGAGGCACAGCCCGCAAGTGAGGAGAAGGCAGGGCAGACCCTGCCCTTGTACTTGAGACGCCTGGCGGGTGACCCTGCACACGTCTTATGGGTCCCGCCCCTGGGAAAGGCCCGGTGCCCATCTGAAAGGTGCTAGCTCCCTGAAGCCTCTGCTTCTAACGGCTGCCCTCCACTGTCGCCGGATCAGAGCCCGAGGGCCCCGTTCCTACCTGCCCCTGACCTTCCAGAGGTATTGCCCCTCTCACCTCTCTCCATTTTTGTTTGTCCTGCTTTCCCTTTGTCAGGAGTCCCCAGTTTATATCCACAGATGGTCACCCAGAGGGTCCTCAGGTGACCCTGAACCTCCCTGCCCCGCAGGCACCCATTCACCCCAAGAACCACCAACGCCATGGAGGCCGGGGCCCCTCGTCTCTGAGCCCACCCTGGTGAGACCCTAGTGGCGCCCCAGAGGCCGGGGAGGCGGGGGTGGGGGGCCTGCCCCGCAGCGCCCCTCCCGCGCACGCTCTCCCAGACACGTACACGCGCACACGCCGCCTCACACGCACACAACACATTCACATGCACGCAGTCTCACACACTGACACACAGCACACACACGCGCGCCCGTTGGAAAGGACGTGCATCTGGTGGCAGGGACCCCGGCCGTGACCTCCCCATCGGAGAGCTCAGGGTCCGGGGCAGAGACCGTCGGCCGCACCCGCTGGTCCCCGGCGAGCGGCCCGAACTGGAAGGGGCGGGAGCGCGCGCAGTGGGCGGGCACTCCCTGTTGCACTGTACGAGGTCTCTGAACTGTAATTAAAAGTTTTTCTCGAGTCCCCGAGCCTCCGCTTCAACTACGCGGCCCGCCCGCCCAGCCAGGATCCGGGTGCGGGGCGCGCCGCTGCCAGCCCCGCACCCCGCGGGGGGCTCCGGAGTGTGCGCGTCGGGCGCGGCTCGGTGACGGACGCCCGCCGCTTCCAATCGGGGGCGCCCGGGGGCGCGGCCGGCCAATCGGCGGCCCCGGGGGGCGGGCCGGCCGGGCCAGTTAGATTTGGCGCGGCGACTTCAACATGGCCGAGGCGCGCAGCAACCTCGCAGGCGGCGGCGGCGGGGAGGAAAAGGGGCCTGAGGGGCCGCCCCGGGAACCTGCGCCCCCCGGCACCACCGTGCCAAGGGTCAAGCTCCTCGACACCCTGGTGGAGACTTTCCTCCAGAAGCTGGTCGCCGCCGGGAGGTAAGGCGGAAGGAGCCAGACGGGCGACAGGCCGAGGGGACAGGGCTCGTCCGGGCCGCCGCGGCTCGAGCCCGAGGGGGTGGGGGCGGCCTGCTCACGCGGCCTGGCGCCCCTTCGCCGGCAGTCACGTGGTCGCGCAGCCGCCGGGGGCCCGGGCCGGAGCTGCGGGACGCGGAGGGCCGTCCCGGGCGCGCTGAGGCCGGCGGGCCGGATGCACCAGCGAGGGGAGGGTGGGGGTGCGAGCCGTCACTCCTGCCCGCGCGGTGCCCCCCACCTCGCTCCGTGTTTCGGGCGGGCAGGGCTGAGGCTGGCGGGCCGCCCCGGCAGGGGCTTGGGGGTTGCCCGCGCTCGGGTTCTCGCAAGACCCCCTTCCTCGCCTCGTCTCCCGGCCCGCACCTTAGCCCTGCCCCTTGCGATCGCTCCTCCGCCCACTGGTTCCCTCGGCGAACGTTCGGGTGCCCGGGCACGGCGGCAGGGCAGGCGAGGGCCGCCTGGCTCGGGGTCTGCACCCCGTGCGGGAAACCAAATAATCACCGGCGTGAGGAGGTACCGAACAGGTGACGGGACGGAGGGCGGCGTGGGGGAGGGGAGCCCGCCCTGACCTGGTGATGCCGAGCGGAAACTGAAAGAATGAGAAGGAACAAGTTCTTGAAGAACTAGAGGAAAAGCTCACTGGCATAGGAGACAGCTTGTGCAAGGGCCCTGAGGTGGCCAGGGCCTTCTTGGAACTGGCAGTGGCCCTCTGGGAGGGTAGGGGACAGCCTGTTCATGCCAGATGTAGTTTCTGGAGTAATGAATTTGATAAAAGTGATTTGTAATTTTTAAAAAAAATTTAATGTTTATTTTTGAAAGAGAGAGACAGAGATAGAGCACCAGTGGGGCAGGGGCAGAGAGGAGTCACAGAATCGGAAGCAGGCTCCAGGCTCCCAACTCTCAGCCCAGAGCCCGACCTCTGGGCTTGAACCCACCAGCAGTGAGATCATGACCTGAGCCAAAGTCAGGTGTTGAACTGACTGAGCCACCCAAACGCCCGTAATTATTTTTATGGGCCAGTCATGACACCACCATGAAATGTCCGAGCAGGGTCCCTCCCTCTGTTTGTTTAAATACCCCTGACCCCTCTCCCCACCCCCACCCCCGTTCTGGTCTCCTGGCCCCGCTCCACAGGCCCCACTTGCTGTCGGCTGCATGTCCTCCATGCTCGTGCACGGTACTGCCTGACCATCTGCAGTGCCCCAGGCTCTGTTCCAGGAGCTGGAGACAGGGGTGCTCTCAGGGCGCGGGCAGGTGTTCTAGCGCCAGAGAGAACAATCAGTCCGGCTCCAGGAGTAGAGCGGTTGGGGGGGATCTGGGTTAGTGCGAATGCGAGGAAGCAACGCGAGTACGTTTGTGCCCTTGTAAAATGTGTTGTTTCGTCTGTGCGTGTTCTAAGTTGATATGCACGATAATTGAGCTACGTCTGTGTTTTTTCACTCAACACCGTTTTTTCAAGACCTAACCCCATGCTGTGCGGGCGTGTAGTCCGGGGGTGACCCCGCGCTGTGCGGGTACGGGGCCTGGGGGTGACCCCGCGCTGTGCGGGTATGAATTCTGGGGGTGACCCCGCGCCGTGCGGGTACGGGGCCCGGGTGGCCCCGCGCTGTGCGGGCCGGGGCTCCTCTCGCTGCCTCTCATTCCACGATGCGCATCTTGCGCTCACCCAGCCCCTGGACACCTGCTTGCCTCCGGGTGCCTCCGGGTCCCTCCGGGTGCCTCCAGGCCACGCCACGGTGAATGCCCTGTGCGGCGTGAGCAGCAGCTCCGAGGGTTACACGTGCCTGTGTTCTCTCAGGCTGCTTTCCAGAAAAGCTGTCCTGTTTCCTGCATCCTCACCAGCACCGCGTGTCCCCCGTTCTAACACCTGCCATCCTGGAGGGGTGCAAGGCGCAGCTCACTGTTGTGCTGTGCGCACCCCTGCCTCCTCGCCGCTCTGGACACCTCCTCGTGTGCTCGTTAGTCATTTGGCTTCTCCTTGTGAACTGCCTGCTCACTGTCTCCAGCTTTTCTTCTTCCTCAGACTCTTTTTTTTCTTTTACTTTTTTTTTTTAAAGCTTATTTATTTATTTTGAGAGAGAGAGTGCATGGGAAGGGCAGAGAGGGGGACAGAGAGAGGCTCTTAAGCAGGCTCCATGGTATCAGCAGAGCCTGACGCGGGGCCCAAACTCACAAACCGGGAGATTCTGACCTGCACCAAAATAGCCGGAAGCTTAACTGACTGAGCCTCCCAGGCTCCCTCTAGGGTGACTTTTTTGAGACTCCACCTCACCTCAAGTCTTTAAAAAGCTTCCAGGATCTTGATGAGTTGGTATTTCTACAAGCTTACAGATGCAATGAAATTACAAAGATGTCCGCACCAACAAAGGCATGATGCCTTGAAACCTGAGCCAGCGGGGGGCGCCCGGCGTGGGCTTGCGGCGTGGACAGTGTGCTGTGGGCGTGCGAGGCGCTAATGCTGTGGACGGTACGTTTCTTTGCAACTCCATACAAATCTATAACTATTTCAAAATAGAGTTCAAAAAAAGCTTTTCTACAAAGGATACTTCTCATAGGACAATGTTCAGTGGAAAATAATTAAAACCACCTAAAACATCCAACATTTGAAGAATGGTGTCGTTCAAGTATAATAACTAAGAAAGTACTTTGCTGCTTTAAAATTCCATTTTGAATACTACTGAATCATGTGGAAATGATCACATTATAAGGGTAAATTTTAAAATCAGGTTATGGAAGTGTCCGCACTCCACACTGAATGTACTTGTTACCTGTCTATTAAACCGGCAGCTGACTGGGGGCGCCTGGCTGGCTCACACAGTAGAGCATGTGACTCTGGATCTTGGGGTTGTAGGTTCAAGCCAAATATTGGTGTAGAACTTGCTTAAAAGAATAAAATCTTAAAAAAATAAATAAATAGGGGCACCTGAGTGGCTCAGTCAGTTGAGTGTTCAGCTCTGATCTTAGTTCAGGTCATGGCTTGTGGGATCGAGCCTGCATTGGGCTCTGCACTGGCAGTGTGGAGCCTGCTTGGGATTCTTTCTCCTCTCTCTCTACTCCTGCCCTACTCTATCTCAAAATAAATAAATATTTAGGGGTACCTAGGTTGTTGAGTTGGTTAAGCATCCAACTTCAGCTCAGGTCATTATCTTTCAGTTCGTGAATTTGAGCCCCGTGTTGGGCTCTGTGCTGACAGCTTGGAGCCCAGATCCTGCTTCAGATTGTGTGTCTTCCTCTCTCTCTCCCCCTGCCCCAGCCCCCCTCTGTCTCTCTCTCAAAAAAGGGGGCTCAGGGTTGCTTCCAGAGTCAAATGTTGGCTCCGTAGCTCGGCACACAGGCTGAGCAGCCTGCCCCCCCCCCCCAGCCCCGCGTCTCCAGCGCAGTCAGGGCCATGGGCGGCAGCAGGTGCCCGGGGGGGGCCTGCTCTCTCCCCCACTGCTTCTCCCAGCCACACCCCTGGCCCTCCGTGTGCTTATACAGAACCTTGCAGCTGCTTTCCACACAGAAAGGGCTAGACAAATGTCACATATGAAAATACACACTTGGACGACCTATGCAAATACTGGATCCTCTCCCAAGCCGTTGAGTTCAAAGTCCTCATTCTCAGAGACCAACTGCTCCTCCCGAGACAGGAGTCTCTACATAGGAAAACAGGTCAGTCGTCCAAAGGGATATTTAAACCCCAGATTGATGTTCCCCACGACTGGGCGTATTTTTCACGTGTGGATTAGCTGGACTAAGAGGCGAATCTCCTGACGCGCCTCAGAATGACGGGCGGGTTACGGACCTCGTGGGGCCATCAGCACAGCCGGACCCCTGCCGCTGCCACCCTTCCCCGGCCCGGCCAAGCCAAGACCCCACCTGGCCTGGCTTGGGCATCAGAACACGGAATGTGGCTCTTCGGGAGTCCCCATCTTTCGCCTGTGCGGACAGCGTCCTGGGCCTCTGGGCAGCCGCCATCCTTCTGTTCAACTCAGGTAAGCAGATGATGGCCGAGAGCCACCGGCCGTGGGTGCCTGGGCGAAGACCCGTTGGCCCCATTTGGCGGAAGGCAGGGTCTGCTGCAGATGCCATGCCAGCCCTGGCCGAGCCACGGGTGGTGTCATCGGGGACCCGAAGTTGCTGGGTGCTGGCTGTGCCCGGAGGGTCTGCAGGGCCTGCGGGGCTGAGCGCCGGCCTCTGGGCACGGGCGGCCCCAACGTGTTCGCGGGAACCGGCTCCTCGAGGGAAGAAGTGTGGTCTAATAGGTCCAGTGATCCGGCCGTCTCCCCTCCCCCATCGTGCCCGTGCTGTGCTGCTGGCAGTGACTCGTCCCTGCAGCACGTGTGACTCTGCGGCTTCGCCCTTGCTCTCCCACCGGCCTCTGTCTCCCCGCTCCCCCCCATCTCTGTCCACACGGCAGCCTGCATCCTGCTTAAACCCTTTCCCTGCTCCTCCCATCTGGCCGCCGCTGTCTGCCCTTCCCTGCCTTCCCGCCTTCCCCACCAGGTCCCCAGCTGGGTGGCTCCAGCAGGTCCCGGCCATGTGAGCTCCAGACAGCTTCCTCCCTCATCTGAGACCTGGGCACGACAGCAGAGAGGCCCCCGGAGCTCTGTCGCGGGGGTTAGATGCCGCGTGCAGAGTGCCCCATCCCCGCCCGGCAAACACCGCCTGGTGCGACTTTGTCACACATCCTCTTCAGCTACACTGCCTGAGTCTTTGACTCCTGCTTCCTCCTTAGGTCTCAAATGCTGCTTCCTCCAGGGAGTCTTCCCTGAGCTCCTGCAAGCTGCCCCCTCGCCCCTGCCCTGCTACCCCAGCCTCATTTTCCTGGGATTGCTGTGTCTTTTAAACAGTATCCCTTGAAGGGTGGGGGCCACACTTAGGCATCTTTGGGTTTGTACCGGTGCCAGGCCTGGCACGTGCTCAGGCTGGGGTTTGTCAAATGAATAAATGAACGCAGTAGTCCCCTACCCAGAGTGGCTTTCCAC